GGAGAAAGAGAGAGATAAAACGTAACTGCACGTAACGTAACTGCACATAACGTAACTGCACGTAAAACTGCTGTGTTATGTAGACTGTTACCGTGCCGTGTTAAGTTGGTAAATCATATAGTTGCCCCATACCCCAGTTAGCTAAGCTAGGAGCCGTATTAGGTACTTGGTACATGTACACTGTCGCTGTAAAGTGTGGTTCGTACGGTACATGTTGGTCTAGTAGTATCGAATAGTAGATACTTTACATACATATACTCTACTAGACAGCTACTATCTGAAGTACTAGCTAGACTTTGCTAGCTACTTTGCTCCATTGCCAAAGGGTCTTTGTTTTTCGAACGAGCCTCCTTCCAATGCGATTGCTTGTAGAAAGACCTTGGATATTTAAGTGTGATTTACCTTGGAAACCCCTTCTAAAACCGGCATCCACCGTCTTCATCTAGCTGTTAAATGTAGCACACGACAAGAGCTGTACCACAAGCACCACAAAACGTGGAAGAATTATTGTCTACGATTAGCGTCACATTTCACTGGTAAACACACACACCAGTGGCTTTCTCCTTGTCTACTGTCCACCACCATCAATCAGCTGTGATAACACTGATAGTGGTGATGTTTCGCAGTAGTACCGTATCTGCCAGGTCAAGTGCGATGTTTCGGGATTAGTTGTGAGTGAAGTGTTTCTCAACAGAAAAGAAAGAGGACACATGCATCCGCCTCCTACTACCTCGCCGAAGCATCCTCAAAAGAAGCACCACATTGCTTCTCACAATTCTCAAGAGCAGCCAGCCTACAATCACTGCAACTACTAGCTACAGTACGGTACTTACCACCACCAGTCTACAATGTTTCAAGAATCTGCCAACCTGAGCTGGAATGACTTCCACCACCACACCCGAGGAAGTTATGTGGCGGGCTACTTTGACGATGACGAGTCCATTTCATCCTCCAGTATGCACGCGTCGTCCTCGTCGTCCATGTCGTCCAATCGGGGGAGATCCGCGCTTCGCAAAATGGAATCCGACGGTAGTATGCGAGATGGTAGGCATGCGTTCCTTGTCATCCTCCAGCAGCAGACGGTCCTTGTCGTCGTCCACCAGAGGAGACAGAACCCGAAGGCACAAATCCTGAAGGAATCCCTGCTAGTGCCAGGCGGCAAAGCAGCAGCAGCGCGGCGGCGGCATTATGGGCGGTGTCAAGCAATATCTAGACATGCAGAGACAACCATCCACCAAGAAAAAGAGTGCTGGACCAACCATGGGCCGAATCAACAAGTCAGGAAAGTTTGTTCCTTCCAAGAGACTCAAGTAAAATGGCGGATTGTAGCTACAGTGGCTGGGGAGTGGCTGCTTTGGAAGCAAGCACTCGGCCAGTCACTGCAAACTACTACGGCATTATTCACTGCAGGCAGGTCTCTTTTTACCACAGAACGGAAGCCTTACAAACTATCAACAACTGACAACCAATCTTGTCAAGCACAAGAAGAAGAAAACGAATTCAATAGTATGCATAAGAATAAATGAAATAGATCATACATATACGCTACATCAATCTCATGCTGCCGATTCAATCAATTCATGTGCTTCGCCGCGAGAACTGGGAAAGCTTTCGACGTTGCCTGTCGAATGATCAATGATCGTCAACCCCTCGAGCGTTTGCCGAGTTAGAAGTAGGCTAAGCTGTTTATTGAGATACGGTACGTGGCAACGGTAGGCTAAGGCATTCCTCAGAATGACGCTGACAACTAAGGACCCTGCGAGACAACCTGACAAAGGGCCAGTGCAGTCTCCCGATACGGTAGGCAGAGCGGACCGGAAAATTCCAAGATTTCGCCTGCACGGAGTTTGCTTGGAATTGGAGGCAATGCCAGCCAGCCTGTCAGTACCGTAGGGTAGCTTGCTTTCATCCGACAACTCCAGTAACCCTCGTAGCAACCAAGCACTCTTCAGAGCACACTTCCCAGGACACAGGAAACCATTGCCAATAATCTAGAATTGTTGCATCTTACTGAGCTAAGAACCCCCTCCTCCCTCCTCTTCTCTTTCTTTTAACTATCCCGCCCCTGCGGGGCAGGTTTTCTTTTGGCTTTACTCAACGAAAAATTTCGTAACAGGCCATTTTTTCCATAACTGTGCTAAGTTTCCCCTTACCGTGCAACATGTGTCTATGTACTACTTGAGCACTGGATTGTTCATCGCAGGAAAGCCAGCACTTATCTAAACGAGGCTCACTGGAGGAGAGATGAAGGAGATAGATCTTAAAACTGCAAACTGCAAGGACTAATGGGCTGATTTGACCATCATTGACAGCCAACATTACAGTTGTATTCCATCGTAACAACATTAATTGCGTTGGCTTTATCCTTCTATCCGATCGGCATAATTTGCCTGTACTACGGAATTTCAAAACAAGGTGTCAGCCGAACTGCTATCATTGGTCAGCACATGTCGCTCGGAAAGCCCAGTTGTAGATTGTGAAGCTTCATCTCTTCCAGCACTACCAGGCGACATGCCCAGCAAGATCACATCCTAGTAATCTTGAGCTGCAACGTTGCCTAGCCAAATGGCCCCGGAGCCACTGAATGGATACACTGGAAGCAGTCCTCTGGTACCAAGTACCGGTAGCTACCCTCTACTACTAGCTAGCTAGTTACAGCGTAAGAGCTAGCTAGCTACCTGGCCAACCATTAGCTTGTACTCCAGTACACGCCCATAAATAATGGACTTCCTCTCTCAGTTCTCCAAGTACATGAAGAGGTCACTGTAGTGCAAATAGGTTTAGTCGCCTTTGCTTTCGGTTGTATTTCGGAAATTATAATTTGCGAAGATACCGTTTTGATTCTCCTAGCTAGCTCTAGCTAGAGACTACATGATAGACATCAGCTTTACATCAAACATTTCGGTAAGGCAAAAGGAACCACCTGTTTCGGAGTAACCCAAAATTACAATATTTTCAGGGGGAACTTCGTAGATTCCCTCCATTTCTTTCGAAGCCTAACGGTTCAAGTAAGTTCAGAATTCGGCGTTCTTTGAACAGCCCTCGGTGAAGTCCACCCTCCCTTGGCGACTGACAAAAGAACCCACCAAGAATTGTTGTTTCAACTCTCACAATCTCACAAACTCGAAAACACCTCAAAAGAAAAGCACCACCTTCGCAAAAAGATTCACACAATGATCTCTGCTATTTTGGAACAAGCCTCTCTATGGAACAACCAGGGAGCCCTTCAGGTATCCCATGGAAACCTTGAGGATGCCTACGGCTCCTTTGCCATGGCTTTGAAGCTCCTTGGCAGTGCCAACGCTACGACTTCCTCGCAAACCACAGACTTTGAGACTTCCACTGCTCTGAGCGGCACATCCTTTTTGCTGGAGCCAGTCCACGTTCCAGATTCTGCTGCGATCATCAATAAGACTGAAGAGGCCAATGCCTACATCTATACCAAGACACTCGCTCTCTCGAGTCCGAACCGCCAATGGGCAGCCCGGGATATCATGTTCTTCTGCGCCCTGGTCAAGTTCAATTCTGCTCTTGCTTGCCACTTGCAAGCCAACAAAGGAAGCGAAGGAAGAATTCGAGAAGCTTTTCGATTCTATCAACATAGCTTGCAGTACCTCAAGGCATACCCAGATCAGACTGATTCCAGAAGACAAGAATTCGCAACCGTTTTGGCCATGGCTTGCATGAACAACATGGCTCAAATCCTCCATGAGTTCAATCAGATTGAAAAGGCCAAGGTCTTCATGAACTCTGTCCGAACACTGCTGTCTTCGTTGCAAGAGTCCGATATCGCGGTCACGTTTGATAGGGCCTCTATTGAAACCTTTGTCTGGAATGAATTCATGTTTGCTTTTACCGCGGATCTTGTTCGCGGTGCACCTGCTGCGTAATCCTCCAGGAACGGAACAGCAACTCGTGCGTGTAACACCACATGATACTTGCTAGGTCTCTTTGTCACGGAGACATCGATCGGATAATGTACTACTAGAACTGAATTGCATGCCAAGTCCTTAGGGTTTACTGCTCTGGGGAAGCTGGAGGTGCCGATGTGCTGTAGTTCCGCATCTGCCGTTCCCAGAGTGAAACAAGCAAGGCGTCGTGGGCTACACCTACCACTTCCCTTCGCGTTGGGATTTCTCACAACCATGGGAGGGCGAGATGGCCTCTACCGTATACGGTACCATCTCGGCAACGAAAGAACCAACATGCCGCGTCTTGTTTTTCTCCACCGGTGCTGTGAGGGTTTGGGTAACACGAGTTGCCGAAGGAGTGCTTCCTCTGCCACACAGCACTTTGGAATCGCTGGTAAAGAATACGTGGTACAAGTTCCATCCAACATGGCTACGGTAGCTACAACTCTTCTGACTACAAAAAGATTGTTGGGAAACCGTTTCCTATAATTTTGTATGTACGATTAGAGCGTGATTACAACTGTGAACGAACAAAATCTCTTGCAAGCTTTCCAAGTGTGGCTGCTACATCTCCAGCGATCTGTGTCGTCACCACTGCGCGACTGATGGATCGCCCATTTCTTCGCCTTCGTTGACGAAGAAAGTCCAGCCCTCACCCTTTCCTTTGATATTCATGAGTCCACGGGGTCGGACGGGAAGGTTCGGAGCTTGCTGTTCGAGAAGGATGGCGGCAATTTCGGAACATTGAATTCGATTCTCTACCGAGAGCTGACACATTCTTGAAGCCATGGTGACAGCATCGCCAAAGAGACAGTAGCGAGGGTGCTTCGTGCCCATGACATTTGCAACCACAGGACCAGACGAGATGCCGATCAGGACACCAACAGTACCTCTGCCAGGGTCGTCTTCGTCAAGGAGAGTTTCTTGTGCAGCCCTTGCGGCAGCGATCGAGAAGTTCGCCATCCGTTTCGCGTGATCTGGTTGATCTTTGACAAGACCAGTGACGGCCAAGTAGGCATCGTTGACAGTCTCCAATTTGAACACATCGTGAGAGGTACAAAGTTCGTCGAATTTGCCATAAAGCCTCTGGAGCATGTCCGGCACTTTCACCGGTCCAAGCGACTCGGAAATGTCCTCGAAGTTGAAAATCTCGCAAGAGAAAACAGTGCAGTTCTCTTTGGATTCGGGTTCCACCTTTCGTCCTTCCTTGAGAGCATCGGCGACGTGGCTTGGGAATAAATCGTACAAATCAAGCGACTGCTCCTGCTTATTTTCGTCCTCCTTCCGAAGTGGTGCCATGGTCGCGATATCCAAACGTTTCAACTGCAAGTCCAACTCTTCAAACGTTGGTCGCCTTCTCGGGTCGCCGACAAGGCACTCCATCATCAAAGTTTGCGCCTTTGGTGGGCATGTCGGAGGAAGAGGTGGCCGTTTGTTGACCGCTTTGTTTGCAACAGCACAAAGGACCTCGAGAGGGTTTTCACCGTCGTAGGGATCCTTCCTACTGTACATTTCAAAAATCACCATTCCAAAGGCATACGCATCAGACTCGGCTGTGTTCCCCGTCTCTCCTCGCAAGATTTCAGGCGCGAGGAAGTACGGGGTTCCAGCTGCCCCCGTTTTATCTGTGTCGATTGTCGAGAGCCCAAAATCCGCAACCTTTAGTAAACAAAAAAGCGTTGCAAAAACAGGGGTTAGGCCTCTGCATGCCCAGAAAGCAATCAATGTGACAAACTGAAGCACAAACCTTGGCTCGAAACCTTCCATCCACAAGGATATTTGAAGCTGGGGCAAAGTGATAATGGGAGTTAGCAGCATAAAACAACAAAGCATTGAAACAGCTAGAAACCCGCTTACCCGCTTACCTTTTAGATCACAATGAACAATCTGGGGAGTTGCTGCATGAAGAAAGCGAATTCCACTGGCAATATCTCTCAAGATGGGTAACAGAATCCTTGATGAAATAGACGCAATTCAAGCGCACAATTAGTCAAAGTCGACCGCCAAGGCACAAAACGACGAGGCGACTTACTCTCCGTCAATCTCCATCGTCTCATTGTGGAGACAATCATAGAGAGATCCATGCTCCATGAACTCGAGCACAATCATAGAATCATTCTTGGCCATGACCGCCCCCATAATGGTGATTACTGAGGTGTAACAAGATTTTGATGACGTGAGTACAAATAATTCCACGCCTCCAAATAGAACAAACCGATACTCACCACATTGATGGCGGAGGGTCGCCAACTTCTTGATCTCTTCCACAAACTCAGCTTTCTGTTTGCTAAGCTCTTTGTCAGATCGGAAAGTGCCCAACCAGGATCCCTTGCTCGATGCGACACTCATGCCCTCGTCGCCACTCTTCACCGCACTGACCATGGCCGACGACTGCTTGGCGCTCATGGATTGGCCCATCTTGGATGGCGCCATCGCCGCTTCTTCCTTCACCAGAGGAACTATTGCTGGTTGCGACGAGGCAACCCTGGCAGAGAACGACTTGTAAATGTGGTCGTTGGTGGCCTCATCTCCGCTGGGAGATTCGACGTCACCAACGGGATCGACTGGCTTGGGTTCTGGAGAACGCTCGGTCGCGAATCGCTTCACTGCAACTTCAGTACCACTGCAGAGAAGAGCAAACGGAAAAGGGGGAGTTTTAGGATGAACGAGCCCAAAGGACGGCAAAAACAGGCGAAAGGGTGTGAGGTGTATCCTTACCGATACTCGGCTTTGAGGACGTATCCAAAGGTTCCTTTACCAAGGATGCGAGGGGGGTCTTCAAAGATTAATTCAGATGCCTCGATTCTCCAAACCAAATCAAGATCCTTACGACTCTTCAAAACATAAATGATGACAGCGATTAGAGCAACCACAAGAACTACCAGAGGAATCAGAACACCCAGCAACACTGCCGTGTTTTCTCCAGTTTCATCATATTTGCGGCATATTGAGGGATCGCGTTCGTCCATCAATTCTCGGTGCAACCGACAAAGTTCGACTTCAGTGTGGGCTTCCAAACCCAGCGAAGCGCGATAAACACTGAGCTGCTCTAGCTTGCCCTCTTGGTCGGTAATTTCCTTCCATCCCTGATCAACACGCATCAGTAGTTCGTCCAACTCGATTGCTCCATCAATGTACTGTCTCGTCAAATCTCCTGCTACGTCCCGCGTGTACTTGGCCAACCCGGGCAACCGCAAGTTGAAAGCGCCGTTGACTTCTTTGGATAGCGCCCATTGCATGACATTGGTGTGCTCCACGTAAGATTGCTCGGACCACCCCGCCTCAAGAAAGTTGTTCCCGGGCACCAACTGCGAGTAGCGCCACGAGTCGAGCCAGGACCTGTAGTTGGCCACATCGTAGACGGACGTATCGGGGGAGTTGGTATAGACAAAGTAATCCCACAGCAAGTCCTTTCGGTTTTGTGGTGCGGACTTTCGAATCATGGTCCCCAATCCTCCACTCCAATAGAAGGGAACCCTGTTGATTAACTCGCCTTCGAGGGGTGATGGCGGCAATACCGATGCTCTATCGTTGTCGTCGAAGTGACCTCGAGCGGGTATTTTTTCGGCTTTGGGACAGAGCTCTTTGGTACAGTCAGTAAGTTTTCCAGTGGTCCGGTTGACAACTTGAAGGGACCCAAAGGGTTTGAATCGGTACGGTTCTGCATATTCTCCATTGGCCATGGTTGGCTGCCATACGACCGTTCCGTTTGCATCGGTGCGATGAACCCCGTTGGGAGTCAAGAACAATCGTTTCCAAGATCCAGGCGGGGCAAATCCAATGGCGCACCGTCCCTCCAAGAAGAGGTCACTTTCGGCAGTAGCCCCTGAATTCCAAAGCTCCTTCCAAATTTGGGCGGCATATCCATATCCTTCTCCAATCCTCGGTTCCATGGTATCGACATCAAAGAAGAACCCTTCTTCAGTTCCTAGGGTCTGATCTGCCGAGGCCCAAGTGCCGTACAAGGCTTCAGCCCACCACCAATCGAAAATTCCAGCTCCTTTGACAACATCCAAAGGGCAGGCATCGAACGGGTCAGATTCCTTTACAATCCAAATACAGTAGGAAGCAAACACAAAGACGTGAATAATAGAAGAAGACTTACCCAATCGAGGAAAGTGACAGAATCCAAAGTCATCTTCGTCTCCATCGTCATTCAAATCTGTTCCGTTGAAGAAGCTCACATACTGAGCCACTTCTTCCCAAGTATTGGGCAAGGGCAATCCATTTTTTTCGAGCAAATCCAAACGAACGACGGGCACAAAGAAATCTCCATCGTACATTAAGAATTCCAAGGCTTTCTGTCCATCCGGATGACGATATTCTCCCATGGCCTTGACTTTGGGAAATACATCTTCCCACTTGAGACGGGCATTATCTTGACGGATGCGGTCATTGAGAGGTTCGCTGAGCCGGAGGGCGGAAACCTCGGGGAAATGACTGTAGGACATGAAATACCCATCGTAGACTTCGCTGCCTTGGTTGGTGATGGTCCCCAAATCGGCAATGGGGTCTTCAAAGATATTGTTGGCATCTGAGAACACAACCCGGCCACCCGTGCAGGCTTCAAATTCCTTGGCTCGAATGGGGAAGAACTGAGTTGAGATTTCGGTCAGGAACGACAGATAATTGGCCGTCACTCCTTCGTATTGACCACCGGGGGCAAAGTCTTCAAGACCGGGCAGACTGCAGTTGTATGTCTTGCCGTTGTTGGGGCCCTGGCCGTCGTTATCGCCCCAGAAGTTGCACTGAGCACAAGTGGCCTCCACTTCAGAACTGCAGGTCTCGTCCGTGTCAAACTGAGCGGCTGCAAGAGGCATCATAACCAGAGCCCAAAAAATCCATCGTAATATCCAACTCTTCCGGCCTGGTCTCATGGTATGGTATTGTATTGTATGGTATGGTATGGTATTCTTCAACCAGATAACACAAATAATAATCAGACGAATAAGAGCAGAACACAAATCAAACAGATAAGAGCACAGGCAAAAGAAAATAATCGGTGGGTCTATGTTGTTGCCAAAGTGTTGAGTTTCGTGGTCACACCGGTTGCTTCTCATCAGGCCTCATCAGCCCCCCTTCATACTGCTAGTAATTCCAGTACTGGTACGACCCAAACACCAAAAATCTTGGTGGCATCGCGAGGAGGACTAGACTACCGGGCTACCGGGAGATCTATCCATCAAAAGTCAAATAAAAGGCTTCCGCCAGAACAGAGAAGAGACATCTGGCCCGTCACTAAAAGTCTTGACTGAGACTCTTGACACTTACTCTACTTTACTGCTGTTACGGTACTGGTACTCATACTGGTTTGCTTGATGACCACAAACCAGCTGCAGTAGACAGCGGCTACCATTTATCGTACTATCGGTAAAATTTCAATTTTACATTTCTATTTAATACCTCACCTACCTTTTACATCAAAGTACTGTAACGAGTACTCCAGTAATCATCAATTCAGTACAGTTCGGATTACTGTTGATCCCAACCATCTTGAACTTTCCCCCTTCGACCATTTCATGTCGAAACGGTCTCATACAAATAGATTGATGAAGTACAAAGCCCTTTTGAAATGTACCTCGGATTGAACCAATAAAAGCTACTAGCTATGCATACCGGTAGTGCTCGCTAGTATTGCAAACCCATCTGACTGATGACTTTTTGTGGTTGCATCGAATTCCAAGCGTGCAAGTGCGGTACCCCACCTTGATTAACAATTATGGAATGCTTCGGACAAATATTACTCCAGTAGCATGATCCATCACAAGTAGATCAGACACTTCCAAGAAGCCTTCTACTGTACAGTAGCTAGTTACCGGTAGCTACTGGAGTAGTAAAAATAGCTGTAAAAATCATCCTGTAAAGCACCACTCTGCAAAACTGGACACTGGACAACTGGACGACCCAGCTTTCATTAGGTACGGTACTCAGATCTGAGCTCTGAGTCAGGGTGTGAGAACCAGATAGATTTTGAACTGGTTAGGTTATAGGTTACAGCAACCAGATAGAAAATTCTATCTGGTTTGGTTATAGGTTACCAACCAGATACAGTAATTCTATCAGGTTAGGTTACAGGTTAGGTTATAGGTTACATAAATGGTTACGAAACAACCTATCTGGTTACCAAACATGACCTGCCCAAGCTGGCTGCCTAATCATCCTGGCGGGCCTCCTCCAACGCCTTTATGGCCTCCAACACTCCCAACTCCAGCATATCCTGAAAGGCTGGGGAAATCTCTTCTTCGGGTTTCTTCTTAGCAATTCTCTCCAACAGGTCTGTAGTCCGACGTTTGGCTTTTTCCAGCTGATCCTTCTGCAAGTGGAAGCGGTGTTCGTCCATGAACTTGGAATTCTTATAGGTCAGGACCTTCATTTGGAAAGTAATGTCATGCTGGAGCTGCTTGAGAATCCCATCCATCCATGTAGCGGCACTGAAAGTCCGCTCTTGGTGCCCATTGCTCTCTGGGACCGCAAGAATACAGATTGCTACGGGATAGATAAGAGGGTAAGCACTCTTCCCATGTGTCTCCCACCACTCCAGCAAGTCAAAATGCTTGGCCACCAGCTCCACATTCTCCACCCATTCTATCTTGTTCGTACCAATCGTGCTGATAATTGGGAGCGGGACGTGTCTCTTCTGATTCATCAAGATTGCCACCAGCTTGAAGTCTTGACCGAACCACGCGTCAATGGTGGCAGCCACCCGATCAACCCCTTCTTCTTGTGGGGCTTCCTGTTCATTCAAGTATCGCTTGGCGAGAGTATCAACATTGCACGCAAGTCCCCGCAACTCCCCGTCTACCTCTTCAACATCCGTGGAGAGAGCAAGTATCTCCGGTATCAAGAACTTGGTGGCAAATGGGTTGACGGACATACCCAGTATGCGGCTCTTGTTGTTGTGTTTTGCCATATTGGCCCCGTACTCCACCAGGTTATCAACGAGGCGATCAATCAACTTTTTGGGAATAGCATCAAGGTCTGCTTTCTTGATCCGCGTCATACCAATCCTGTTCATTGCGCCGGGAACATAGCAGAGCAATGTTTACCCCTCTCCCTCAACAGTTGGCCTGGGACAAGTGGGTGTGCCGTCGAACTTCTGCCTTGGAAAGTGTGCATTACCGTCCCATTTACCTTCCTTGTCCGGAGTCTCACTGCGTCTTGTTTCTGGCACCCAGTAATGGTCTGCTGTAACATAGTGGAAAAACACTCGGTAAATGAAAAAGGGAGCGTAAGAAATAGTTCCATTTCCATCGGTTTGAGTCTGCATGAGGATAACTCTCATAGCAAACAAGACAGCATACAGTTGAGCAATCATCCAAAATTGGTTGTCGTCCAATTCCAAAGCCTTATGGTTCTTGTTGTAGTAGTGCTTGTAATTCCAGCGACTCCGAATCATGCCGGCATAGCGCAGCATTACGCCTGCCGACCGAGTATGATTTGGCACAAGTACCATCACCGCGTGCCTCCCGACCTTCTTGAGCTCTTTCACGAAATCAATCCATCTTCCTCTTGACTTCTTACTCTGTATCCATCCGGCGGCAGCCTCGGAATCCTTCCTGACTTGCTCGCAGGCCTTAAAAGAATCGCAAACCTTCTTGTCTTTGTATCGCTTGCGTCTTCCAATCGAATGCTCAACCACTAACTGCATTTGGTGCATGACGCAGTATCCATTCTCACGTTACGAAACCGACGTCCTTGCCCGTCAACTTCTTCAGGTACTCGTCAGTCTCCGTGATGTACATGTTCACCGCAGCAGCAAGCTCGATAAAGGCTTTGCGGCAGTGTGTAGCAAGAGCCTGTCTTCCCATGAGTCCATAGTTGGGTAGCTGGTTGATTTGATTTGCATGCCTGACACAAAACCCAATCAAGTCCTTCCATTCAGGACACTGCGTGTGATTGGTGACAATCCGTTCTGGAAGGTTGTTATTCGTGTAGAACCGATACTGTTTGTCCTTCCAGTGCTTCTCAACAACAGCAAGACCAACAGCTTTGGAAGATTCATACAAGACGTTCACCTGAGATGGAGGATCCCCGGTAATTGCAGTACCGGCGGTGGAGAAAACAGCAGTCGGGCGTGGACGTGTTGCAGGACCAACATCATCACCAAAGTTGCCAGTAGCGTGGCCTTCTTCGTATTTGTATTTTTGTTTCAATGCTTTCATCGCCTCCCAGACTTCTGCATGCTTAGCCTGGACATGGCTTGTCATATTGCCATTACCATTCAGGGCATACGGTGGGCCACCAGTCTTCTTGTAGGACGGCTTCACCAGGGAGCAGTACAAGCTGACTGCAGGATCATCATAGCACAGGAGACAAACACAATACGGCTTCTTTTCTGTCTCTGCATCCTCCAACTTTTCGAAAGCTTTGAAGTCCAGTGCTCTCAATTCCTCCAAGTCCTTCTGCTGTCGAATGTGGGCAAACTTCATCACTTCCCAAACTGCAGCTTGCTTCTGGAAATTCTTGCGCCTGGTGTTCACCTTGTCCTTGGTGTCAACCAGACCTTTTGCTCGTGCGTAGAGAGACGTCAGGTTCGTTTCTCCATCTTCTTCGTCCCCCTCCTGGGATCCTGCCGCTGCAGCCGGCTCTTCAACAACCGGCTCATTTTCGACCTCGGGATTCTCTTCTTCAGCATTCTCGACTTCGGCATTCTCGACTTCGGCATTCTCGACTTCTCCGTCATCTTCGTCTTCGGAGTCAGACTCGGACTCAGGCTGGTCCTTCAATGCTCGTTCAGCTTTCCTTCGAGCAATCCGGAGCCGTCGTCGTTGTGGCTCTTCTTCTTCTTCATCGTCAGAATCCTCTTCCTCGGAGGATGAACGTTCGTCACAAGCTGAGAGTGGAATCATCCCGGAATGTTCCGCGATATGATCCGCAAATTCTTCCAGACCATGGTGTTCACGTCTTCCTTCGTCAGAGAATTGGGCAACATCATACAGGTCCTCCTCCTCCTCAATGAAGCCTCCATCATTGTCTTCTTCGTCCATGATAGGCAATAGGCAATGCAATAGGAAGAAAAAACGGCGGCGATCAACCAGATACGTTCCGAGTAACCAGATACGTAACCAGTTAGATAACCGTTTACGTAACCGGTTACGTTCCGAATAACCAGGTAGGTAACCTATAACCTAACCACATCCGGAACCAATTACAGATCGTAAAAGGTTAGGTTATAGGTTACCAACCAGATAGCGAAAATCTATCTGGTTACAGGTGGTTATAGGTTACGTAAATGGTTAAAAGACTCAACCAGATAGCCGTAACCGTAGGTTGACCACTGATGGTTCGCACACCCTGCTCTGAGTACTCCTCAGTACTCAGTATTCGATTCGATTCAATCCAATCGCTGTCTTACAGGACACAGGCAGGACACAAAAGCTACACAGCTACGAGTACTGTACACAAGCTACAAGAGGCAAGAGGCTATCCAGCCAGTCAGCCAGTCATCCTGAACTCGAAGCAGCGTTCAAATTGTTCATATATGCGGCCCAGGAGGCACAATGCGACGCATGCGACAAGCCAAACAAACTCTTGAGCCTTGAGCCATTGGCTAACTGGTGGCTACGGTACCGTAGCTAGCAAAGCTGCTAGCAACCAAATTCTGGATGCCGGCAGTGGCAAGGAAAGGGCGGCACAAGTTAGCTGGAGTTAATAAGCAACACCACAGTACGGTGTCATTCACCAAGCAGGTCAACGAGACAATTGTCGTTCCCACAAACTTAATAAGATTCAATCATTCATAGAACCATCCTGGAGGCTGGTAGAGTTTTGGCATGCTACCTGTACCGTACAGTCGTATGGATCCTGGATTGTTCTTCAGCACGTTTTCACTGTGGGCGCCCACAATGATTTTCCATCCGCGTCCTGCTCCCAACCCCTTCAATCAGGATCAACACCAAACTTCAATAGAAGGAGACGTGCATTATGGCCGGTTCGCGAGGAGTATCCAAGACTCAGACTCGACCCAAGCAAGCATTCTTCTGAAGGTCACCACCAAACACTGCAATGGACTGGCTAGCTACCGGTACTCAGCAAGAAAAACCTAACTCATAATTTCTTTACCAGAGAATACAAACTGAAAGAATGTCCCACCAAACAGCCCTTGATAACGTCTTGAAGCTGAGAACAGATTTGGACGCTCTAGCGGATTCGACCAAGGAAGACAAAGAAGGCGTTGAGGTGGTGGGTGAAAACGCAAAAAAACTGCTCCGGGGACTGGGGAAGTGTTGTGTGACGATCCCAATCTTGAAAGAAACCATGGTGGCCAAGACCGTAAAGAGGTGGAAACACAACCCGGTAGCTGGCCCCACCGCAAGACTTGTATTGAAGCATTGGAGGGATTTTGTGAGGAAGCTCCAAGAAGAAGAGGAAGCAGGAAAGACGACATCCTCCACCACCACTAAGGTTTGCAATGTCAAGGTCAAATTTATCCGGCCGCACTATGACAATTTACGGGAGTGGGTGAAGGATAGTGCACTCAACGAGTACATTGGCCGCAAGGGAGTGGTGTTTGTGGACGGTCAGCGGTTCCCTCCTAGAGATAGTCCGTGGGCCAATCCCTTCAGAATTACCCAAAATAGCACACGGGCAGATGTAGTGAATCGTTACGAAGCCCATCTTCGCAAACAGTTGAAAAATGATCCGACTCTGAAGGGAGAACTACTCAAGTTGGATGGCAAATGCCTTGGATGTTGGTGCTGCCCGGAAGCTTGTCACGGAGACGTTTTGGTTCGAGCCATTCAGGAAATCAAACAAGGCAAAGGAGGCTGGTAGGCAGAATCGATATAATATGAGCTATTAAAATAGTTTAGGAAGACATATAAACTGAAATGCATGAACACCACCGGGAGAATTCAATCGCTGCAAAGCACAAGGCTCAATCTTCTTTGAAATGCAAATAGCGCGTGTCTGCCAACTTTCGTGGCCGCAGCCAATGCTTCATGGTAAAGAACAAGCCTGACACGATGCAAATGAACCCAACCACAATAAAAGTCCTGCCAAGGACCGGATTCTGCCCTCCAAAGATATTGTTGGTGCTGATAATGATTGATTTGCTGCCTTTGAAAGATTCAACAACGTAATTGGCTTCGACTTGAATGGTGAACCGTGATCCCTTGGCAATGGGTTCATTGAAGTATCCGTAAAGCTTTCGAAAGGTCGGTAAGGTGGCTATCCGCATCCAAACGATAAAATGTTCATTGGTCACACCTTCGAGAGGATTGACGACATCAGGGTACGTTTCGTAGAGATACTGTGTAATCTCTTCATCGGGATAGTGATACCGATAACACTTTCCATCGTCAGGATGAACAGCGGGTTCACTGCAGCTCCAAGATTGATTGGTGAGGCCAGCTGTATCATCGGTCCTGGTTTGCGCCAAGCAGCAATCAGGATCACACGATGTAGATGTGGTTCCGTCGGCATTGATATTGTTGGGTGTCGGATTTTCGCATGCTTCCATGGCAAATCCATCTGGTTGCTTGAATTTGAATTCTATATCAGATGCCCATGCCACTCCCTTTTCAATCAAGTTTAGTGTGTTGCCCTCGGCGTCTTGTCCGGATTCCAGCGTGAAAATATCATTGAAGAAGGTATTTGCAATGAGTCCGCAGGGATTGAGCCAAACATTGCCTAGCTTGTTGAGCGGGTCGCACAAGGACGCCTCCAAACTAGTCTGTTGCAGTGAAGATCTGCCATACAATTGATAAGCATCCCTGGATTGGTAGTAATCTCTGTGATTTTGATGGAAATTGGTCAATTCATAATGAACCAAAATGGGAGGTTCCATGTACTGAGTAGCAATAAACTCCAAAGAACACTTCCGCCTGGCATTATATGTAGTGTTGATGCCGCATTCTCGAAGATTGGGATCATCAAAGGAGTCATACGTCTTTCGAAGTTCGACCACACCGTTGGACAAGTCCTGCATTTTGAAGCCTAAAGGAGGCAGAAGGGAAAATACGCTATAAATAACAATGGTCAACGTTGGGCAAGTCTTCTTTTTGTACTGATGTTTGACAAACTCACCTACAGGAACCATAATTACGCCCAAGTAAAACAGAGCAATGATCACCCAGACAGGATCCAAGATGGGATGCCAAGCGGCGATCCGCTGTTGGTTGAGAGCCACATCGGCGGGTCGATTCGTCTGCTCGGAAAGGGAGAGCACTGTCTCATCGTCATCGTCCTTTTTCGTCGCTGGCATCCTTCTTCCTTTTGAGTTGTTTCGGCTGGCTTTGCACGTAAGGTACTGTTGTTTGGTCTCTTGTGAAGATGGTGTGTGCTAGCGGTCTGTGTGTTGTGTTTGTATCTTCTTCGCTGTTTGCTGCTCTGGCCGTTTGATCCTCCTTTTAGCTGCGGTGCTTACAAGACTCATAGCTTCAAACGTCAGGTAGATGCGGTAATAAAAATGACTCTTCAAAGAGTACTTTAAAACGTTAACCCTAACATTACCATATCTACCCGACAAGATCTTGCTTCCAGACCAACGTACTGTACAGCTGTACAACTGCTCGGAACTGAAGTGGTACGTACCAGTACTAGTAAGCCGAGGACTTCCTTGGCTCGAGTTTCAATATCTATTCCATTCCTTTTACTCGTACTATTCTGCCCCTCATGTTGTCACATTACAATATCCTTATCGGGTGCTGCTGCTGCAGTTGGTTTTTCATGTAGGTCTGGGCAATGGTCCTGTGGAAGCTTGAATATGGTGGATGTTGCTTCATGCATACTAGGGTTGTGTGGTGAAAGGGTCCGTGCATCAAGCTGGGCCGGGGATAGGTCCTGGGGTTGCTAGAAACTGAGTGGCCAAGGGTTCCGAGAGACTGCTCAACTCAATGCCCAACCGTTTGCATTGCTAGATGGATGCACCAGTATCATCGAAGCTTACTGGGTGCTGGCTGGTCGGGGGTTCTGACAGCACAGAGCTCCACCAGTCACGCACCAAAGGGACATATTAAAAATATCTACCCCTGCCTTGGTTACGGTTGCTTGCCCAACACCAAAAGATCGATAGACAAGTGCCAGAAGTACGGTATCCAACACACGACCCTCTTGGAACAACGATATTATGATCTTACGTTTACAGGTAGCTAACTAATAAATGACCAAGGCTCATTCTTTGTGGTCTTGAGCCTTGACCGTGACAAAACGATATCATGTATTTCTTGGCAGTGTCGTACTGCCGGCTGGTGAGTATGTTCTTGATGGCGCGGTTTGTGACAAAGTGATGTTTCAAATGCAGTACAGGTTATTTTCCGATTGATAGCAATTCGCTACAGCTCAGAGCATGAAACCCCGCAGGGGGGCTGCTTCCCTTCTTGTCTGGCTGGCATGCATCTTGCTTGATCCGTCAAGTTTTGGCTTACGAGAGAGCATCTTGAGCACGGGAAATGGCAACTGCAGCCACATAAGCGGTAGCAGCAGTAACAACGATCGACTTGGACAAGAGGTTGGACATGGACAACTGCAAAGCACCGCCCGCAACCTTGGAAACCAAGACACCTCCAACAATGGCAGCGTTTACAACTCTCTTGACCTTGCTGTTTCCATCTTGAGTGGTCAATCCCAACATTGCCAAAAGACCCAAAAGAGCCGTGGCCTCTTCTTGGCCACTCAAAAAGGGAATCACCGAAGGGAGTTGGGACGTGACACCCAAGACAGCGGCAGCCGTAGAAACACTCGAGGCAACTTGAATCGACAAGTTCTTGATGTTGGCGTCTTCAGATCCGTGTCCGTTGCGAGCATAATAGCCACTGGCCACTGCTGCAATCATCCAGTTGGCAGGTGTCGAGGCAGTCAATGCCCGAGTCAAGGCAAAGTTGCTGACCGCCAAGGCCGAGATATCTTCTTGTGAGAGCTCATCGTTGTCGGCGAGAGCGCTGCGGAGAACGGCTGCAACTTGGGAGACAACCATGATGGGAAGACAGTATCCAAACCAGGCAGGAACACCCAGTCCAGCAGGTGCTTGAAGAGAAAGGGAAGACGGGGCAATATCCAGTCCAAATTTGGTTGACCCCAACTTACTAATCATGGCGGCCAAGGTGGCAATGACGGGAGCATGGTTTACAAAGCGCATTGCACGGCTCAACACCAAATCATCGGCCTTTTCGAGAACAGATTGAATTTTTCCACTCACGTTATCGGCCACATCATGAACAACGGCTGGTTCCGCAACAACCGACGCCTTGAGGGCAGCTGGAGATCGGAACAAGGGGCTTCGGACGGCAGCATTGATGGGGGCAATGGGGACGTATGCCGCAGAAGGAGCGATCAGCAAAAGGGAGAAAACAGTGGTGAAACGCATGGTACCGATAGATTCTGGTGGTGAGCTAGATAGATGGAGGGAAATTTCTTTTTTCTTTCCTTTTCAGTTCCTCGAGAGCTGATTTTGTGTATATTGTTCATCAGTTGGATCCTCGCTTTGTACCGATTTGTTGACACCTTCAAACGCCAAAAGATACCTTTTTGACACTCGGGATCTTTTTAGCGGTGGCCACGTTGTCTGACCATGATGGGCAAAGGTTCTCATCATCCAAGCAAGACGAAAATTGGAACGAGTATGGTGTCAAAGTTGACACCAATGCTGTGTGTTTTCGTCTTCAGTGTTGACTGTCTCCTCCAACTTTGATGCCTAATTTCTCGATTTCCCTGTAAGCACACTTGATCGCTTTATCAAACCCGCTCGTGATTTAATCTTCAGCAACCACAACACGACCCAACGTGGAATCGTGCAACACCTCCAGGAACCGCAGCTAGTTTTGTTCTTTGTGAGGACCCCATCATTCTCAAGCAACTTGCTTTCGCTCACACTATAATAGAAAGATATCAGACAGGACGACAATGGCAGACGGTGGAACTTTTCCCTGGAAACGTCAAAATATTGACGAGTCGCGTGGACCAGCGGGCTCTTACGATGCGGTCTACCGCACCCTTCCCGATCTGCCCGATGGAGTAGCGTGGCAGAGAAACGAAAAGACGCGAGAATGGTCTCTGATTCGTGTCGATCAGCAACAAGAAAAAGACAAGTACCAATATAAACTGCAGAGAGCCACGGCATGGAATCCTCGTACAGGAAGAGAACAACTCACCGTGACTCCAGTGCCCAAAGTTCCCACGAAAGGTGTTGATGATGACCACACGGTCGCAACGGTGATTTCTGCCAACGAAGACGATGCCCCTCCTCTTCCCGTCGTGGGTAAGGATTATATAGTTCATACAGTGGTGCCATCTGATACGTTTTCTGGTCTCTGCTTGCGATACAAAATCAAACCTGTGGAACTTCGACGCATTAATTACTTCTCCGGCACGAACTTGGCCTTGGCGCCTTCCAAGCTCTTGATTCCTCTAACCACGTCCATTGAGAATCTGCGTTTGCAAGATACGTCTTCGCCAGAATACAAAATGCAAATGGTGCTCACGGAATTTCCCAAACTGGCCAGTGTGGAACGCAAGGCTTATTTGGAAATGAATGAGTGGGATTTGGAACAGGCTCTGGAAGAGATTCGGCAAGACACTGAATGGGAGAAGGAGCAGTCATGCACAGGAGTTCCTGTTGCCAAGGAATGTCCTCCCGGCAAGCCGATGCTGCAACCTTTGGAAGTTGACGCCTAAAACTACTGTCCTGTACCGTCGGACCTTCGTCTGAGTCGGGTAGGAAAAATAAGTGTGCCCTGTTTTAAAAAATGGCGTGGATGGAGGTATGAATGCTCAAATGCACGAAGCAGAAATTAATAAAATGATTTGTTCGCGATCTTGACACCTGCTTTGCGTTGGACGTAAATATTTATTACCAGAACACGGACCCGCTATTTTCGCAGTGGCGCCTCGGGTGTCCTCGATGGTGACTCGGCATTGTTTCTCTCTGCAATGACAATGGATTGCAAAGAGGGGTCCGTCGTTGCAAGTCTTTTATCGAAAGCAAGGAAACCCAATCCAGCAAAATTCCTCACCGTTCTCCTTGTTTGCCGCCCAAGGGGTTGCAAGTCTTTCATCGAAAGCAAGGAAACCCAATCCAGCAAAATTCCTCACCGTACTCCTTGTTTGCCACCCAAGGGGCCTGGAGGTTTTGACCCTTCCAGAGATTATCTTTGCTTGGTACCTGATACAGCCGTACCGGTAGAAAGAAACGCAGCAAAATTCAACCTTGAGTATCCTACTAGCTGAGCTACGTATGGTTTGGTGGATTGACTGGTGTTTCTGCGAGCAACCAAAGAAGTTTGGGGCTGCAAAGTCTCTGGTGCAGCCTTTCCGATTTAATTTAAAAAAAGATTCATTCATTGCTTCGCTTTGCTTTGCTTGTTTGTTTGACCTGAATAAAACAGTTCTGAAGGCTTATTACTTGTTGTGGGTTAGAACGAATGATGCCTTCGAGCGATCAAATCATTCGGACTACTGATAAGCCGACCAGTAGCAGTGGACTGGTTCACTTTTGAAATCTGCAGAGCTGCCACGTGTTAAAAGCAGGTTTGTTCTTTTAATTAACTTGTTCTTGACTTCCCACGCAAAATCATCTGTTGCCATGGGAAGACAACTATGATGAACTCAACCAATATAGCACCTACACACCCAAGATAACTATATAGAGTTGTCTACAATCCTTGCTTGTTACAGCCATGTGCTGGTTGTAGTGGTTTGAGCCATGTAGAAGGCATTATCTTATGTCAAACTTGAGGCTTCATTTTCAAGGGGGCAATGGTAAGAAATTTTCAGCCCTACTTTGCCAGCCATTCGTTGCTCCCGTGGCCACCAAATTAACAAGCCACTACCACCACTGCGACGATCACGTCCAAATTATGCATTACCTATCTCAAAGTATTGTCAGGTTGACTCTATTGGTCAAACGGCTGGGGGTATATCTGTCAGCATGAGGTGATGTCAAAAGTGAAATTTCTTCAAAATGTGAGGCAAATCATGCCATGACTGACCAGTCCACTGGTCGGCGAAGTCCACTGGTGGGCTCACGAGTAGCGGACAGTGGTACCTTACGGTACTTTTTCTTGCGGAGCAAGACCTCGAGAGCTACCCAATTCGTTGTCTCTTTTAGTAAAGAAAAAGTCAACGAGATCCATGCTCCTGGAGTCAAAGCGGCTGTTCACAGCAAGACCCCCCAGGGCGACAACAGCGTAGAATCACAGTTGAACTCCCGGACTTCTGCAAGAAATAATAAGCTCGGCAACGAAAAAGTCTAGAAGAAGCAGAGGACAAGCTACATTACATACCTGTACCTGGAATAGCTAGCTCTCAAGTCGAATGATTCGATTGATTCAATCTGCTGGGGGGATCCCCCAGACCCCAGAGTGACAACCGCGCAGAAGCGGAAGAATCTCCCAGCCTTCTTCTGTGCGTCGTGAGTACATGGGCCTGTACCGGTGGGGCTGTGAGACTTCGAAGCCACGAACTATGATCAGTCCGACGTCTCTGCTTGCTAGCTAGCTACCGATGAGGAGCTAGCTACTACTAGTAGTAGAGCGCATGACATTGGTGGAGTGGTATTGGTGGTACTTCCCGAGTATTTGTGACATGTCTGCTTCTGGTCAGGGCCTTGAGGGTTGGGTTTTGAGGCGATCGTGCCAACTGTCATCCATCTGTCAATGTCTGGTTTTGGGAAAACCAGAACCCAGTCTCCAATCGCTCCTAGCTAGTCATTGGTTTTGCACCGCGTGGAAATCTCTTCCTTTGTTTGATGGTAGGAGCCTTGCTGAAGCAGTTGTTGTGGAGAAACCCATGTAAATTTTAAAGAAGAAAAGCCTGGACATTCGATACTGAGGCGCTTTCTTATCATAGGATTTCAAACCTTCGCACCTTCGCGGTGACGTCAAGTGAGACACCAACCACGATTGGGAAAAGAAGAAACACCTTCGCCCCCACTCTGCCTACAAGTTTTACGGAGCGGGCGAAGGTATTTCGCGGGGCGGCGAAGGTGTTTCTTCTTTTCCTATGATCTGTTGGAGTCTCCTATGTATGCGAGTAAGCCAATACCAAAAAGGCACCTCTAGCCAAAGATGGCAGTTCGGCCTCACATTTTTGTTGAAAAGAGCGACTTGGATTACTCGAATAGAACGTAACAAATAATGCAGTAGAATAATGGAGTCTGCCTTCTCCCAACACCGAGATTTGTTTGATGGAGTTGATGGTGATCTTCTTCTGTTAACTCTGGTTTTCATCTGCGCAATCAAGCTCCTTCCAGTCAATAGGGCAAAGTCCTTTTTCGAACAACGTCTAGCTTGGGGTAAATATAGTAGGAAGCACACTCTGAGAGGTACCTTTGCAAGACGTTTACGGATGGAGAAAGAGTCTTTCGACCTCTTACTGGGATACATCAACCAAGAGCTCCTAGTCAGCGAGACCTATGCTGTAAAAAGAGGGGGAGCTATACTCCCAGAGCTGTGCTTATATTCCACTCTACGTTGGCTTGCAGGTGGTTCCTACTTGGACGTTTGTGATATCGCTGGAATGTCTACACCATCGTTCTACAGAGTAGTTTGGAAGACAATTGACTGCATAAACAACTGTCCAGAGCTGGATATTTCCTTTCCCAAAACACCGGAGGAAGTGCAAGAGGCAATTGATGGTTTCGCAAGCCTAAGTCATGAAGTGGCTATCAATAACTGCGTTGGAGTAGTGGATGGCTACTTGCTTCGGACAAAGGTGCCTGCTCAAAGACATGTTGGAAATGTCCGATCCTACTTCTCAGGGCACTATCAATGCTACGGCGTCAACATTCAGGCAGCAGCAGATCACCACTGTCGCTTTATCTTTATTGCTCTCACTGCTCCTGGAGTGACTGGAGACCGTGAAGCTATCAGAAGATGCAATTTACATGCATCGATAGAGTCGTTACCTGCTGGCATCTGTGTTATCGGCGATGCAGCGTACGAAGCAACAGAACATATGGTTCCGGTGTACCAAGGAGTAGACCGGCTGAACCCTCTCTATGACAATTTTAACTTCTATGCCAGTCAACTAAGGATCCGTGTGGAAATGACGTTTGGCATCATGCAAATGAAATGGGGAATTCTTTGGAGGCCTGTTGGTGTATCAATCACTCGAGTGGGAGCATTGATACAAGCTGTTGCGAGACTGCACAATTTTGTTATTAATGAGAGGCTTCGAATGAAGAAGACATCTACTGATCCCAATCAGAATGTGGCTTATGACGAAGCAACAGGTACATCTGGCTACCTTCCGTCCGTTCCCCATGATGAGTACGGTGATCCAATTGAGTTGACAGCTCTTGATGGCCAAGGCGAAGCTTACGGATACTCTCATCTTCGCGAATCGATGGCGCGTAGAGTGGAAAGACTGCAGTTGACTCGACCAGCATCAAACAGACTCAACAATAAACAAAACAACAAAAAACGCAAGAGGAATGAACCACTAGAGAGAGCCGCGCTATCATAGTTAGTTGCTAAATCTAGTCGCTGTCATTGGAAGCGTCATCATCATTGACAAACCTTTCTTCTTTTGGAATCTTGAGCTTTTCTTCCAATTTGAGCAGTCGCTTCTTCAAATGGGGTAGCTTCCTCTTCTTTGCTTTGCTTCCACTGTCAGCGACATCCACATAGTGATCGCAAAGCCTATCATACTCTCTGTACTGCTCTTGTTCCATGTATGACTTCCTCATTGTCGCAGTGTTCTCTTGGCTTGATTCAAAAGCAGATGCAGCTCGCTCCAGTGTTTGTAGTATTTGGCGATCTCTTTTTGATCCACTTGCTGGTTCTTGTTCATTGTCAGAGTCGCGTGGTGTTGATGATCCCCTTGAAGCTGCCGCCTTGGCTGGAACTGAAGAGTCAGATTGCAAGATGGTAGGCATGAAGACATTGTGTGCTGTGTCAATGTTGGGTTGCTCCTTGACCCGCTTGTCCAGATAGTAGACAGGAAGACCTGGCATGACAACTGTTTTCCTGACAGTGAGATGCGTCCTGCGCAGATAGTCGTTGAATGGTTGATGCTGCCCTGACGATGTTTTGGCAATGATAACTTGCTCTCGAGCCTTTAGAAGGTCCTTTACGTTTTGTTGACAGGTTTGTGCAGACATGATGTTGAAATCGTTGGCATTGACTGCCTGCCCTTGAACTGCGGCTGCAAGATAATCGTCAGCATTCAAGCTACCGGCATCTGAATAAAGAACAATGCCCACTGTTTGGTTGTTCTCTGGATCAACGTAAGCAGCTGATATCGCACTCCAAAATGTCTTGGTGGGATTCTGGCCACTGTTGCCGCTCTCGAAAGCTTTCTTGTCAAACCTCTGGGTTAAAGACAGAAAGCGATCGACATAAAGAGGTAGAAAGATTGTGTTGATTAGACGAATCAGAGACTGTATCTTCTTTTCCATTGTCGTAGACACGGTACTTGGGACCATCATGTTATCGTAGGTGGTTCCCATTTCGATTGCCAAAGCCATCTGTTTCCGACAAAGGAACATAGATGCAGAACCAATATTCTTGCAGCCAAAGTTCTTTGCCAGCTGTCGAAGTTGACTGGAGTTAAGATCTCTTTTCAAGTCAAAATATTTGTAGTTGCTGGTTCCTTCTCTACCGACGCGAATACCAACTGCAACTTTGTGTGGTCCTTTGTCTGTCTTGGATCTACTGTCCATATCCTCTGCGATCTCCACACGGTGCTTGTGCTCATATGTAAATGCTCGCAGCTCATTGGGGAGTTCTTTGACTTCCTTCTTTTTCCTGGCTGGTGCCAAGGGTGGTCGAGTGCCTTGTGTCTCATCAACAGCTCCTTGTGTGGACTGGGTAGAGTTGGACGTTTGTGTTTGGCGGATCAGCGGTGACTGCACAGGCAATGGGTGCAAGTGCTGGATAGATTCTAGCGATGGGAAGACTCGGTGACCAATGCTGGGAAAACCCGGGGCACTAGTCTGCCACAAACTGTGCTGGCCACCATGGATGTTCATGTTAAATCCTCCTGGGGGCGTATCATGCAGAGAGTAGAATCCAGCTTCAAACCCTTTGGTACCAGTACCGTCGGTTCGTGGGGCTCTCTTCCTCACTGCTTGCAGCACTGGTGACGGTGCTCGCAAAGGAGCAACAGGTTCAATCTCATCAACAGCCGCAAGCTCATCACTATCATCATCTGACGATTCCTCAAGCTGAATAGGTTGTTTGTTTGATTGGCGGGCCACTGGCTGCTCCTCATCTTCAGAGCTCATCTCATGAATCTGCCTTGGTGCGATTTCAAGGCAACTTGTGAGGAGGTACGAAACACAAGGAAAAGCAGTTCTTGACTATGCTACAGAGACTGGCGAAACAGACAAGAACACAAGCAGGCATAGGATAATCTCTATGTATTAATAGTTAACTACAACATTTGGAGAGCTAATAGAGACCACATTATCTGTACATGAAGACTCTTTCGTATATCTTGGTTCTGCTAGTTGAGTGTCGCAAAACCATTGGTGTTGATCATGTTGACAGTCCCTTTCTCGTTGGGTTTCAACAAGAGCGATGGACCCATCTTGTGATCAAAGATACATAAGTTGTCACCCAGCATGCGTGGGATGCCGAAGGTGCGCGAAGATCGAAGATTCTTCGCCAAATGGAAATTGCTTCGCGAGTGCCACGTCAGTGTTTAGTGCCGCGAAGGTGCGAAGCTGCGAAGGTGCGAAGCTCTGTTAAGAACGGTCCTGAGTAGTCAAAGCTTCAAAGCTTGGCCATGGCATTGAATAATGGTCAAAAGCCATGTAAATCACTGACGAGGACAAAGGGAATAGGCTACCTCTACTATTACCGGTACCTGATAGCTGGCCACTCGCTTGGTAGAGTGGTAGTGGTACTGTAGTCTGGCTAGCTCTTGCAACTACATGTACGTATACATGGCAGTACGTACTAATCGAAGGGCAGCATGAGCTTCCTGATCTCTGGAGTCTCCCCAATCCCCAATCACCACCTACTATAGCCAGCTAGTACATGTACAAGTCCTACTGGCCAGCCAGGGGCCAAGGGAAAGAGCGGACATCACAACATCAGCAATCAGCACCTAGCTATGGCTCAGCACTCAGCAGCAAACAGCAAACAATGATAGCCAAACATAGAAACTGCGTTTGAGATCCGAGATCCTACTGGTAGGGGACAGGGCAATAAGGAGGATATAAGGGCCGACTTCCGGGGAATGGTATGGGGTGTCTTTTTGCACCAAGCGCTACACAGCACTCTTGAGATGTTAAATCATCCAATCCATTATGACTACATTGGATACAATTGATATAAGTTCCGGAATCAGCCAAATTGCCTGGTTCTATCAGGATTGGCAGCAAAACTCAAACGGGTCATTATTGATTTCAGTATCAATCCTACATCATTCTTGTGTGGCTTCGACATTCATTTGCTTGAGATGCCCACCAAAGCACCAAAGTGCCAGACGAAGAACCCCAAAGAGAATTTTGACTAGTGGCAATTTTGCCCTTTCTCATGCTTAACGAATCCTACAAATCAAGAATACGTACCGGTAGATCAAAAGAGTACTTACCAATACCAAATCGCGCAACGGGGAAGTTGGTGCCATTTCCAATACTAGTAGAACATTACATGTAGTCTAGTCTATCTAGCTAGCTAGCTCTGGCTGCTGAGCAGTGGCCAGTCGAGTCCATTCCATGATCCCACGAGAACGACCACCGAAAAGTCACTTGTACCGTATTGTTCAACCACTGACAAGCGTTCTTAATCTTGGTTCAAGGGCTTCGTGCTTTGGGATATCAAAACGGCGCACGCGATTTCTCTGTGGCAAAATCTTTCACTTCAGGTTCTGTTCGTCTCACAATTCTAAAAAGCTCAGGTCAAAACAACACTACCAGCAATTAAGCCGTCCCACCAACCAAATCGCGCCATGAAGTTTTTCAAGCAAAGCAAGGCCAACAAAGTCAGTGGCAATGAAGACTGGACCAACGACTTGAAGGTTCTCGAGGCTGTGAGGAATGAAATTGCAGGCAGCAGCAGCAGCAAGAGAGGGAGTGGTTCTTCCTCAAGGAGATCATCTCGAAGCCATTCCACCAAAGGCAAGAACAAGAAAGATTGCATCGATGCCAACGAGCTCCAGCAGTTGCATCAACTGGTTCGAATGCTGAAGGAAGACGGAGAAGGCAAAGAACTCCTGGAACGATTCGTCGAGAAGCAAGCAGATCTGCCCCTGGACTCTGATGATCAGCCACCAATCAAAGCCATTTCCGTCCCACGCAGCAAGAAGCAAACAAGCCGAGCTGCATAAGTTGCGAGTCAACGAACGCAATCAGCTAGGTGCCCTTCCCATAGTTTCGGCTTCTTTGCCTCGGGCGCCAGCATGTATATTCTCCCAGAAAAGACGACTGTCCTCATATTCATACTCCTTTAAAAACTTAGACCTTACAATGCACAAAACACAACTGGCCACAGCGCTTTCCTTCCCGTCAGTGGAAATGAAATGGCAGTGTCTTCCCTGATGAGTATTTGCACTACCTTCATCTCCGTATCTCCTTGCTGAAGGCATCGCAGAGAAACGCCTGCACCCTGAGACTGTGGCAACGACCTGTACAGCCGAGCAATAGCTAGGCCCCACTAAAGGCCACACGGATCAAACGCCAGGTCCCACACCAGAACAAACTCAGGGCCCACCACAACTGCAACACCTACTCCTCATGTCCCTGCTGTTCGCGCCACCATAACTACAACACCCGCCCCTCGTCCCAAGTAGAGCGAGACTCAAGGGTGTCCCTGCTGGTTGCACCAGAGGGCAGCAGAGGGCAGCAGCCAGCACCGCCGGGACCTAGCTCTGGTTCATGTCTGGGTCCTGTTATTTCTGGTTGCACCCTGGACCAGCATCAGGACCTACTCCAGACGAACAAAAGGTCTTCCACTTGCCCCACTCCCAGGCAAATTTGAGCCTCAACACCTGGACCTACTCGACGACCCACACCAGCGAGGGCCTACTCCACTCACCACTCCCAGACCAACACCAGGATGGACTCCTGGGCCCATAGCCGGACCCAATCCTAAACTGCACCAGGCCCCAAACCACAAACCCAGATCAATGCGTGGTCCAACTTTAGGCCTCAGTCCAGGTGTACCACCTTGGCATACTCCAGGTCCCACACCTGGACCTACCACTGGTCTGTCTCCAGGCCCCACTCCTGGTTATCCACATAGACCACCAATGCTGGCACACAAAATCCAGAACCATCACCAGGACCCACACCACGCACAAGTTCAAAACTGATGTATGGACAAACTCTGCCTTGCTCCTGGTCTTGTACATGAGCCTTAATGGAGGGCAAATGGCTCAACGAGCTCCTGAACGAACTCTTAGTCACATTAAAGGAACAACACTAGACACCTCTCCAGGACACTTCAGCTCAAGAACCAAAATGCAACCAATAGACCTACCCCCCGGACCCACTCCTTATTCAAGAGGAGGACCTGGCTGGACCCACTGACCCACTCCTCCCCCAAGAGGAGGATCTGGCTGGTCCATCCCCAGTTCCCGCTCATGGACCAAAACTACTTGTCCATTCCCAGGCCAGGCCTACAAGTAGGTTGACCCCTAGAACTTCGTACATGGCTGTTGCTTGAGGGCAACGCCTGAACCTGTTGCTTGAGGGCAACGCCTGAACCAGATCCGGTGTGCACCCCTCAAATTCTATGAACAAGTCCAAGGACCAACTGAAGAAACGTAACCAGGAGCCATAAAACTAAAAGAGTTTCCCCTGGACCTGCTTTACCTCTGACAGCAGGACCTCCTCCATCTCCATGTCTCACTCATGGACCAAAACCAGGACACCAGGAGTGGGTCCTGGTCCCAAAGCACCACCGTTGCAGTGAAGGAGGTCTTTGGAGGTCTTTGGACCCTCGAGAACTACCCCAGTATAGTTTTCTACTTCCCCTGTTCGCTTCCTATCAGTGGCAATTATTAGAGAAGACTTCCTTCTTGTGTCCTTCCTGTTTCTGATCTTGTTTTTTCCGCGATTCTGGAGCTCTTTCTTCCGCGATGGGTGCCGTGCAGTGCATCCATCATTCTAAAGCACAAATCACAACCTTGCCGCTGCACCTGCAGCTGTCAAACCTACCAATACGGACCGTAATAGAATTTGGCAACCATCAGACATTTGCACGCAATCACTCTCCTGGTGGTAAGGATCCAATTTGAGAATCCTTTCTTCTTGCGCTACTATCTAGCTTGGGTGCAATCTAGCCATCATACGCACCGGTACCAGTACCACACAATTCCAACTCTACGTGATGGGTGCCTTGCAGTGCAACTAAAAACCCAAATCATAATGTTTGCCGCTGTAGTACTGTAACCAAACCTAACAATGGCCTCTAAAAGAGAATCTGGCAACCATTGGACATTTACAACCGAATCACTCTCCCGGTGGTTAGAATCAGTTTGAGAATCCTTTCTTGGGTCCCTCCTTTGCCTCACAATCTAGCTAGCCACCATGCTAGCATGCCGCACAATTCGAACTCTACTCAAAGACGCAACGCATCCAAAGAGAATTCGGCAACAAAAGATATTCGTAATGGGAAACACCAAGTCAACTCTCAGCCGTGACGAACTTGCCCACTGGGCAAATGATCTTCACACTCTCGAGGCTATCAAGGACGAACTCAAGAGTAGGCAAAGAAGATCGACAAGAGACAAGTCCAAGTCTTGCAGCTCCAAAAAGAGCATCGAGTTGGAAGAAATCGATAACATTTATCATTTGGTAAAATCTCTCAAACGTGATGGAAAGGAAGGGCGAGAGCTGTTGGAGAGGTTCGTGAAGGCGCAGGCGGATCTATTGCCGGAAAAGGCTTTCCCTGTCAAATCAATTTCCGTCCATCGGTAACTTCAACCTCTGACTTTTCGCCTCATCTTCCATTGCAAGAAAAGCCAGGCAATGCATGGTTCTTCTTCCATGACATGAATCGACCAAAGCCCTTGTATACCTTAGCTCGCTCCTTTATAAACTAAATAAAAAACACATCAAGCAATACTTGGTGGTTACGATTGTTCACGTAGGCACGTTTCTTGATTTCTTAGCTGGGGAGTAAGCTTTGGCAACCATGTGCCAAAGCTGAGGCCGAAAGGACGCGAGGAGCGCACCAGAGCCCTCTTGTCACATACCGGTATCATCTCAAGCTGGAGCACCTCGTGAACGTTGTGATATCACACATCAAGTGCGGTCGAGCCTCCCAAGAGGAGATTGCCAGACATGAGCGGTGGATCCGTTATATCAAGTTGAGCCAACATGACTTGAGCGACCCAAGCGATGCCTGACTTGCTTCAGGCCATATGTCTCAGCTCAGTTTGCGGATCACCTTCCAGGTAGGTGGGTTGATGACCACAACAACTTTTGAGCAATCGCTTGTATCCAACCAACCAACACCCTAGCTAGTTTGACGGCGTTTTCGGCCAGCTTTAAAACATAGAGAACAGATTTCAGGCCAGCAAGAGCTCCAGCAAAACACTTCGACTTTCGATCGGATTCACGGCCTTGATGGAACCGTACCGGTAAAGGAACCACTCCACAAGCTTCGTTAGCATAGATGCGTCACTGTTTCCAGCTCACTCACTTCACATCTTCACATACGGTACATCATACCGGTACATGCATGCTCAGCTCATGTTCTCTACCAGTGGTACTGTACTGGGTATCTGTGGTGTGTGGTGCTCTACTGGATTCGAATGATTCCAGAGCCATTCCAGCATCTGATCTGATGAAAGCGACAACTGGACGGGATATTGGTTGCCGGTTGCCGACAGTCGTTGTTGGCGAAGCAGACCAAATTCCCAGCGATGCAGACCCCCTTTTGTTGACTTTTCTAGAGTGACGCGGACAAGCTCGCGGCCACGCGGTCTGGTCCACAATGCCAGATATGGCAACTATGAGAATTAACAGAAGAGATGGAGAATCAGATCAAAGGCATTCTGGTCTATGTCTCTTTAAACCATACAACTATTCTTTGGAATTATGGAGTTCTTACTATAAGAAACAAGTACAGTCTTTTGATCACAAATCGCTGGAAGTTTTAGTGACAACATTGAAGAGAACGGGATCTTGTAAGATAGATGTTCCAGTGTTCACCAGCGGTTCACCATGATGTTAGTAACTGTTTCTTGAGAAGTCAACATCCAACATCAAAAAGACAGACTCGACTCTCAACTCTGGCCGGTCCTGCCGGTCCTCCAGTGTCTACAACTAGTACAACTACATGTACATGTAACTCCTACTGAGTACACTGGTACCACTCTAAACTGTGAAGGGAAGTGGGACTGTGTCCCAGCACAGAGCACAGCACACACTCTTCACACACTCTTCAAAGTGCTAACTGGCGAAATCTAGCTGCGTGTACTTCTACGAAGGACCAAGGGGCATCCCCGTTTCTTGCATTCCTATTAATCGTCTTCTCGGCATCTCGCTTCACAGTCTCGAAGCTGGCCTCGGCTGGTCCTTTTGTTTTGGTTGGGGCTTTCGTTGAAGGCTCACAAATTCTAAATCCAGCTCACGACATCACAAAAATCAAAAAATGGGAAACACCAAGTCCATCACTCGAGCTGACATTGAGCATGCTGCTGCAAACACTAACTGGGACGAAAAGTCCGAGATACTGGCAGTGTTGAAGACCAAAAAGGCCAAGAAGAGCAAGCGATCTTCCAAGCGAAATGAGCGGTTGTTGCAGCAAGGGGATATTGACGAGATCTATGACCTTGTGCTATCCCTGAAGCAAGATGGTGGGGAAGGTCAAGATTTGTTGGAGGAGTTTGTTGCCCAGCAAGCAAACTTGTCCAGAAAAGATCTTTCCGACGAGAAGCCACCAATCAGGACCATCAGTGTTGCTATGGACCGGTCGGATAGAGGTTCAGGAAAGGCTCGAGCCAGGGCGGCATAAACTGTTTGCCTTCAAACAAACGGGGACGACCCTTTCAACTGACAGATGCACTAGCTAGAGTTGCGCATACCCACCAGAGCAGACTCGCAAATCCAAAAGAAAGAGGAATAGAACACTGTAAATTAGTCATGAGTACATCCATTTCACTGAGGCAATCTTTGCGCCGTAGATTGAAACACAAAAGAAAGATGCGATCCACTATGCAGGAGGTTTGACCGATTTGTCCCGCGCTTGCTTTGCTCTGTCGCGAGCTTCGTGGCATGGCTGCATTGGCAACTGAGTTCCCTTACGAACATGCATGCAAAGAGACGATCCGCGCTACATTGCTCGCTCCGACTGAACAAGCTACTCGGGCTGACACAGTACTAGTAGCAGCAATGACACCTTCAGGTACCGGCATCCTCATGCACCACAATCGCCCTCTACCGGTACTAGGGTGTCACCCAGTGTGCCTTCCCAGGTCAATGCCAAGTGCGAGGCAGCCTGGATACGAAACTAGAGCGAGGTTGGAAGCTGCCTTACAGGTATGGTGGTTTTGGTGCTCTACAACATCCAGTCTCTATGACTGACTAAAAAGATGGAATTTGGAAGCAGGTTGGAGTTGCATCATGTGAGGCAGCCGAGTGATCTTTTTAATAATTGTCGAGTTCAAGCATGGGCACTGTACCCGTAGCAACCAAGCAGATCTTGGTGCTGAACACATACGGTACATACTTTTGGGGGGTAGTAGTTTATCAAAAGAAGGTTTTTATCTAAAAATTGAACCCAAACTGAACCATCAGAACCCCTCTGCCGCAACCTTTACGGTAGCCAGCTGGATATCGTGTTCTCTGGTAATAACAATTGTGGTGCCAAGTTGTGTGAAGGAGCCACTACATCTATTCATAGCAGTGCTAGCTAGCTAGTGTGATCCGGTGATGAAAAGCAGTGTAAAAGTGGCGAAAGTTTGGATGGCTCGATAGCTAGCAGAGCTGGGGAGGCATCGGTAGTCTTTCAAAAAAGCCAAACGAAACCGGGTGGTAAACTGGCAAGGTCTGGGTGTCTGGGCCAAGTCACAAGTCACAAGGAAGCCAATGACCATGATTAGACTTCCTACTCAGAGTACGGTAGTACGGAAAGTGCGATTTAATTAACTTCAGTTTACTAGTTTACTCGTTTACTCTACGTACTCAGAATAGAGGTCTTTGGCGATGGGCAAATGTTGCTATTTTAAAATATCACTGTAGTGTACCCGAGTAGATACCGTAGCAATGGATAGCTTGGGTTGGTAGACTAGCTTGCTTTTAAGTTTTTGGCGAAAAATGAATCCAATTTTCTGCTTTTGCTGGTAGTTTTCGATTGGATTGCATTGGATTGCATTGAATTGGATTGCATTGCATTGAATTATTATTTACTATATAAATAACAGTACCTTCATGTGTCCAAATGAATCCAATCCAATCCAATCCAATTCAAACCAATCCAATCCAATGAATCTATTTTTTAGCGAAATTGAAACATTTATCATTCAACTGACATTAGTCAAAAAGTTCTATATAATACAATGTAACGGTAACTCTACCGGTACCAGTACTCCTACTGCAGTAACCAATCCAGTGTACAGTCAACACTCACTAAAGTTCCACCCCCCAGCATTAAGAAAAAAACGGAACTTAGCTGAATTACGGAACTTTAGATCTTTGGAGCCCCATATCGGCCCGTTCGTGGTCTTAGGACCCACTTGGGGTGGCTCCTGTCATATTCTATTGTTGTTGGGGGAAAAAGGAGAGATAAGCGGTCTTGGGGTGGAAGTGCTTTGCTCCTATGTGTGGTGTCTGTATTGTGTTGGACCAGTAGAACATGCTATGTGGCTAGCTAGCTAGTTTCGAGCTCTCCAAGATGCCTGTCATGAAAGATAGATGAAGAAACTTCATATATGTATAAATGAACAATCTGAATGCTGGGTCCTAATTGGCAGCACTGTCTCAAACTGCCACAAAGCACATTCACTTGTCAGTCATGAGAACTAGTGACTCTGGGGGGGGGCAGCCCTGAAAAAGAGGAACTTTGTGGAGTAATGGAACTTAAGAAAACGGAACTTAAGTGAGTGTTGACTGTAGCGCCATGTGCAAGTTTGCTCATCCCCTTTCAAGAACCCTCTCAAAACATAGATTTAGAATTTCATCGACTGAAAGTCATTCTTCACAAACACAATAACTCCGAGTTTCACCCAGACGAACCCAGGATCCTCATTGCCTCATTCATGCGGAAGATCACCTCTTACATGTACTAGTACCTCCAACTTCTCGAAGATTACTCATCTCATTATTCCCAAGAGGTTTCCTCTTTTTCTTAAAAAAAAACTACTCCACTCCCTTGAAAAACGAAAAATTGTCTTCGTATTATTGCACAATGGGCAACTCCAAATCAAGTCTCGCGTACGAACAGTCCATCTTGGAGGCTGCAATCCTTGAGTCCAATGTAATCCACAACCCAGGGTTGTCGTACCGTGAGACCTCATCTTCCCCTGATGAGATTGGAGAGGCGTTGGTGGCGGTGATGAATGGCAACGAGGACGAAGAAGTGCTAGGCAAGATTTCCAAGTATCAGGAGCATCGAAAGGAGATGAGGAGCAGTACTGCATGCAGGGGCGTCAGGGCGAGGCTAAGTGCCAGCGTCAACAGCAACGAACGGCCCCCTGTGCGAAGCATCCGTATTCCTAATCCTCCGGTTGGCTCGAGAAGATCATCCGTTTGATTCTGATTCATTCTGCGAACGGAGCTACTTATTAACAGATCATTGCAGGTGTATATGTCTTGGAGGCATATAACCACTTCAGCAATTTGCCAGCCGCAGGTTCACACAGCATCACAACCTAACTAACTAATACAATAATGCATTCATATCCCACAGTTTAGATATCCCAACCAAGATATTCACTTTTGCTAAGACCAGTGACGTGTCCCCCACTTCTTTCATAGCATTGCAATCATCCTTGTAGAATCGTCGTCGTATTCTTCTTCGTCGTCCATTGTAAGACTCTCGTCGTCAATGTCAACCATCTCTGTAGCAGCATCCGAGCAGGACCGTAGTTCTTCCACTGTGGTCGTGATCGTTTGTGAACCATCCGGGTGCGTGATCTCCTTGATCGTTTTCCGCACATCAGGGCCATTGACAATGGTGGTCTTGATCTTTTCTCTGCCTGGTCGTTGAGGTTCCCTCATTGTGTATTGTTCCACCTTGCGACTGCTGCTTTTGCTCCTCGTGCTTCGGTCAGGTGTGTAATGGCTGGGGCGGCTGCTGGCTCGACTATGCTTGGCACTGCTGTAGCGCTGCTGCTGTTGCTTGGAATGATTCGTTTGCCCATGACGATCACGGTGGCGCTGATATTGATCAAGGTGACGGTTGCGAGGATCTTTGCTTCCGACTCTACCACCACTCTTGACCACCCGGACATTGTTGCCTGTCCCGTAAAGTTGGAACACGGGGTGCTCAGGAGGTGTCACCATGCTCATCAATGTGGTCATGAGAATAATGGATACCAAATTAAAAATGGCAACAACACCCGCACCTCCGGGGGTGCAGGTGGCAGGGACGGTTCCTTTGTCCTCGTCTAATTCATCCACAACCTCGGAACAAAACTTGGAAGCGAACACGGCAAATGTCAAAAGCTGACAAAGAAAGGAACTGGGTAGCAGTACTCGGATAAAATGATAGATTGTTGATGTCCCACGCTCCAAGAAGAATTCCACCAGTGCCAGTCCCAGAAAGATGGAGGCGATAAAAATTACCAGCACAATCCCAAAGGCTTGGGCAGTCTTGATGGAGGCACCCAATTCCATGGAACTGGGATAAGGGATGCAACCCTGGACATTTCCATCAATGTCGTAGACGGGTGTCGTGAATAAGCCCCAAGCATAAATATGGGCATCAGGGTCGTCTATGGCTCCTGAAAGTACAAAGGTGCATCGTTGTATCGAATAAGCAGATAAGACCACCGAAGCCAAAGCGGAAACCATGATAATCGTCCTACTCGAAGTAGCGTACAAAACAGAGGACGGTGAGTTTCGCCCCAAAGCAAATAACAATGGTACAGTAGTGAACAGTGCCGTATCAACCGTACCTAAGTCGACTTTGAGTTTGATGGCTGTGGATACAAAGGAACGCCATGGTCTAGATTGACAACAGACCAGAACACAGACTCGACTCTGGCCTTATCTCAAAGAAGCAGAGGTTGGCAGAAACAGATAGTTGCGATGCCACTGCATGAGCTCTACAAACTTTCAGGAGTTTGGAAGTCGCTCTCCTTCACTCTTACGGGGATAACTTTGACGACGACAAGAACGCCATAAATTTTTGGGGTTCGACAAAATAAGAGCCGAATCGTGTGGGCGCAGATTTGCGCCCGGCGCTCGGGAGCTCTGCGATGGAACCAGAGGAAGCCGTTCAGCACCAAGGCAAGAAGGCAACAAACAACGAAGTCAGCACCAACAAACAAGCAGTCAGGTTACCTGGAGTACATGTATGCATAGGAGATTAGTTAACTCGAGGCAAAATGGCAATAGACAAAGAGCACAGGTACTTTACAGAGTTCACGTGCTCCAAGGCACTTCTGTACTCGATAGCTTCGATCTATGTGTTGGCGGCCTGTTGCATCGTGATGATACAACCCTTCCTTACGATCCCATGTCACTACATACCTGATGGCACCGAACCCAAAACAGCGAATGTCATGTACATATACAATCCATGTCGCTACAATCGCTATCCCATCTTGCTAGGGTTGACAGAAGAGGAATGTATATTTGGGCGGCGCCTAGTGTGGGCAGTAGTGCTGGGGTGTTTGATTGGTTGGGAACGGAAACAGGCAGACAGGCCCGCTGGCATACGTACCATGTCACTGGTGGCATTGGGATCTTGTCTCTTTAGCATATGCAGTGCATTTGCCTTCTTATCTAGTCCAATGGCTTGGGATGCTTCACGTGTCAGTGCGGCAATCCCATCCGGAGTCGGATTTTTGGGATCCGCGCTCATTTTCAAGAACAAAGATGACGAAAACAATAATCATGAAGTTCATGGCTTGACCACAGCTGCATCGGTATGGCTATCTGCTGCCGTTGGAATTGCATGTGCTGGCGGAATGTACTTTGTTGCAAGCCTGAGTACAGCCATCATGTTGGTGTTGCTGCGTTTCGGACCACGCACCAATTTTCCACCGGGTGATGATGATGATGATGATGAGTCAATCGATGATGAAGATGAGACGGAGGTGGGCGAAGCTATTGCAAACATCAATGCCAAGAAAATATACCAATCCATTGATCCAGAAAAGCAGCCAATCATGACGCGAGAAATTCGCCCCAGCTTGAGCAACAGCCAGCGATCCAGTGCTGCAAAACGAACATCCACTCGCCTCCCTCGTCCTAGTTTAATTTAAAGCTCCTGCTTTGCATGTCTACTGCTAGATACTGTCATCAGCTGCAGAAAACTGAACGGCGCTGCAATGGATTTGCCTTCTTATCTGGTCCAATGGCTTGGGATGCTTCGCGTGTCAGTGCGGCAATCCCATCCCGAGTCGGGTCCTCATTTTCAAAAACAAAGATGAAGAAAGCAATAATCATGAAGTTCATGGCTTGACTGTGGCTGCACCGGTATGGGTATCAGCTGCCGTTGGAATTGCATGTGCTGGTGGCTTGTACTTTGTTGCAAGCCTGAACTCAGCCATAGTACAGCCGTCATGTTGGTGTTGCTGAATTTCGGACCACCCACAAATTTTCGGTTGGGTGATAGAATGTTTTTCGGTTGGGTGATAGAATGTGTACTGTCATCAGCTGCAGAAAACTGAACCAGACTGCATTGGTAGCCGACGCCACGTCGGAGTACCTGTGACCGCTTTGAGTTCCGCGTTGTTGATGGGGCAGCACCCTTCGAAGACGGGTCGGGAGAAATTGAATAGAATCGAATCATTATTTGAAGCTGGCGTGCCGGTACCGCCCGTCGTTGGAATTCTCGCGCACCCAGCCATGAATAAAACTAACTTCAGAGGATTCTTTTCTGGTATTGCAACCGCGTCTTAGGGTTGTCGGTGGCTTCTGCCTCTGAAGCGCGAATGCTCTGGAATTACTGCCCCGCTCATCAAATCGGTGCAGCTCTCGTCCGATTCCTCGTATCAAGCGCCAAGTCTGAGATGGCTTTTAGTGCATTTGATTTACCTAGCTATACCCATATGGTCGTTACCACTGATTGTGATTCATTGAATAGTTCTGAATTCCGATAATCAGATTCCGCCGTGGACACTTGCGACATCCTCGGTGCGACGGCAACATTTTCCGGTTGGAGCTGCTGCCAGAAGAGAGCACACTTCGATGCCGCCATGCCGACGCAAGCAGCACAATTCGATGCCACAATGTCAAAAAGGTAGGTTGGATTGGATGGCCCGATGCAGTCGACCAAGACGACAAAGACTACAAAGCAACCAATCGTAGCCTGAATAATGGTGAAGAGCAAAACCAGCGAGAAAAGCCGCCAGAAATAGATCACGGAAAACAGCATCATAGCTGCACCAGCAACTGTTGTAATGCCAGCAGCCAAGATAGAAGGCCCCAGGTGAATCAAAGCGTGTTTAGTTCGGGTACCACGATCCGTGTCCCCAGGAAGTTCGGTGTATGCATGACTGAAATGCAACACAAAATCAGCTGACAAACCAATAAGAATCGTAAAGCAAATGCTCTCACTGCAAGCAATTACGGCATTGGTAAGAAAAGGTGGTTGAAAGACAGAGAAACTCATCTCAACATGCTGCACTTACAGAAATCCAAGGGTCCAGCCTGCCAAAACCATCATCGCGGTCACAGACACCAAGACATAGGCCACACTGATCGCGGAGAATATTGTCACACTCAGCGATCTGGAAGAAAACAGGATCACCAAAGCAGCAACAGCAATGGCAATGGCTCCTGACCACCGTGCTGTTTGAGACACAGCATTGTTAGTGTCCCAAAACAAGTAATCGAGTTGAGAGAAAAAGCTCCTTTCAACTCCAACAGGTGCATGTTTGCGGTCTTCATCCATCCACGCTTCAACAAGATGCCACTCCTTTCCGACGATGGCATCTTCATTGTCGAAACGAATCCGACTTTTGAAGCCAATAAAGATGATCTTGACGACCCCATCCAAAGACAGAATATTACTGATTTCCTCTTCTTGGGCCCAGCTCGAAAGACACGGATGAAATGTGTCTTCTTCGAGAGGTATTGCAGTTGCTCCATTGCAGTTTTCTAAATATGTCTCGCTCTGAACGTCCTCAGGAAGACTCGACTGTTGTTGCAACCAGTCATCAAAGTCAGTGATCGAGCAGCCAGGATCTATGCCTTCTTGTACCCTTTCAGCAAACTCTTGCTCAAAGAATCTTGCGCAGTAGTCTCTCAGGTAGATTTGCGCTGCCTTGGAGGAGGGTTCAAAGCTGTCGTCCAAGACCAGTTCTGTCCAGGTGTATGGGTCTAACTTATCCCCAGTGTCGGCAGGCTTGACACCCCAAATTACATTTCCTTCTTCTCCAAAATTAGAAAGCAGTGCGCTGTACAGCAGCTCTGGTCGCCATGATCTTGCTTTTTCATATTCCACAGAACCCACGAGAACTTGAACATCAAACGATGAATCTGGCGGTCTTAGCTGTGATGCAATATAACCACAGACCAAAATGGCGGCCAGTGAAAGTACAAAGAGGATCCATCTGCATTTGTGAATGCAGTTGTAATAACCAAGAAGGATGCGTCGAATCAAAGGAACATTCTGCGGATCGCCCAATTCACAACAGTTGTTATCTTGGTCAATCACCGTCACGGCGGTTTCCCGCTTGTCCTTTGCAAGGTCCATGTCATCCGTTTCTTCATCCTTCTCTTCTCCCACTGGTTTCGCTTTTTCAATAGCAGGTGGCACGGCTAGTCCTTCCTCGGTTGTGCTACGCTTCGAACAGTGCAAGTCCATAAAGTAGTTTCGCTGATGCCGATAGCTGTCGTAGATGCAGAGACAGGGGAACATCACCAAACAATCCAGTATGTAATCTACCTGTAAAGTCATCGACGCAGGCACAATGAATTGGTTAGTCTAGATTGATTGATGACAGGTGTCTTCGCGACACGCACAGCGCAACATGACTGACTTACCGAAATGAGAAGGCCACAGAAGATACCAAAGAGTTTGACGGGGAGGACAGGGCATATCCCAGAGCCAAAAAAGGCAATGGCTGTAGTTGCAGTGGTCAAAACCATGGCTCGTCCAGCGCCTGGCAATGCATTTCCAGCGACATCTTCGGTGGTGGCATGGGGATGGTCCAATCGCTCGTTCTTCCACTTATCGACAGCTACGAAAACCTGTCTCGGAAGAGAAAACACACATTGGTTAGTTAGTTGGTTGAGCGCGAGAGAGAGCATTTAGTCTTTCATTGGGTGTGTGTTCACATCCACTTACGTGATCTGCTCCAAGGGCAAAGGCGACAAAAACGCCCACCAAGTTTAGAAAGGGGAAGAACGTGATGCCTCCGAGAAATCGGTAAATGCTGTATGCCAGTGGGAAACTGAGTGCAATTTGTATGATACCAATCAACGTCAAAAAGGGAGATCTGGTGTGTATCATCATGGCAGTCGTCGTGACAATGACAGAACCGGCACACCAGAACAGATTCTGAGGCCCAGTGTTGACAGCATATAGTTCCATAAACTTCATCAATTGAGAGTCATAGGCAACTTCAATGTTATCACTGTCGCCCCGACCCAAGCCGTCCCGGAGCTCATATATTTCTTCCAAGTCTTCTCCTTTGGTGACAAAGATCGAGCTGGTGTAGGAGACTCGTCCCGTTTGATCGAATAAGTCATCCACTAGCACCGGTGAAAACACGGTGGGACAGGGGCCACGGTCTTCCACCAACTCGTTAACGTCTTTGGCACTTCTCAAGTGAGCGACACATTGCTTCCATTCTTCTTCTGTTTCGGCCTGGAACGGAGCCCAAGCGTCCGCCAACTGGGAGCAGTTCATCCCGAATCCGTCTCTCACCGTGAAACGTGCATAGAGTACGACACTAAAGGGAGGGAGGCACTGTTGATTGTCGCACCCATGGCAGAGTCCGTTTTCGTGGAGCACGGCTTGGGTCTGTTCTTCGGCCTCGCAAATCGTTTGTAGGAGGTCTGGATCCAGAGCCGACGCGTTGCTGTCCTTGACTTGCCAGACAGGCCACAGCTTGTGTTTAACGATAAAGTCTGGCTTTGCGTACATTTCTACATCACAGTGGGACCATAGCTCAGTAAGGGATGTCGGACTGATGGGACCACTAAAGATCGCATCGTCGTTGTCTTGCTCTTCTTCTTCTTCTTCCGCAGTAGTAAGTGTCGTAATGTTGCTCATGCCGTCTTCACTAGTGTTGGTGAAGGTCTCGTTCGTGTCGCTGACTGTGACAGCCACACTGCCACCACCGTCGTCCGTTACGGAGGTCGGTCGACAGCCCTGTTGCCATCCGCACTGGACCGTCGTCGTAAGGTCCCGCCACGCAGCGCTATTGTTCTTGCTGGCTAGATCATATCGGTTCTTCTTGACCAGCATCAGTTGACTCTGTCGATCCGATATCAGAGTACCGCGACTGGGCCATCCCAGATTGTCAAAGACTACATGGAAGTCTCCTAATAACATGCCAGCCACAGATAGGCCCACGGCCCCCAGCAGTGCGGTCCAGAGATATGTGTGGGGCCATCGCGCTACTCGACGGGCTTGCCGTTGTAGGAAATCGTATTGAGGTGCCGATATTGTCGACGCCGTTGCGGTGTCATCATCATCGTCGAATACGGTCTTTGTTGGCGATAGCGGTATACTTTTTTTCAGCGGTTGTTCTGATTCCATGATTGCAGCAGAAGTGTCAAGGGCTGTCTCTTGTGCCACTCGTTTGTTGCTCATGTTGTTGTTGTCGCTAGTGCTGTCGCCGTTGCTCATGTTGTTGTTGCTGTTGCTGGGTATATTATTAACAAGTTCAGCACGGAACAAAAGAACTCCTTCTAATGAGCCCTCTGTGCAAAAGTCTTCTACCGTACTATGCAGCCAGGTAACCACGAGGGTATCAAGTGGTTTGTAAAGTAAGTGTAAACCATTCGGTTCGCCTGTCTTGCTGCATCGCAACCAGTGTGAAGGTTTTCAGTAGAAACACTGCCGTAAAACCAAGCCGTTAGGAGACAAAACGATGGTTTTGCATGCAAATTCCAATTTCAAAAAGACAAAATTATTCCAACGACCATTATGGGGAATGTACCAAAGCTGCATGGCTGCAGTTTTCTTAAATCCTCTGAGCGCTCAAGAAACACACAATAAGTATTTGGTGTTAGAGGCCTAATATTCGGACAAATTTGTTTGTTCGTGCTTACCGCTTTACTAGGTGACTGACCTGGCAACTTAAGTTTTGTTTTCTACTTGTCGAAGAAACACCCGTTCGGAAGCAACAGCTTTATTAAACAATATAACAGCCATTGTCGTGGCAGTTTGAGGATTTAATGTTAATCCATTTAAGTAGTTCATTCATTTTCACAAAATAAATTTAGGTTTTACGAAACCTACTATATTTACCATTTTCGAGGTGGATTTTCGCCGCGTCACGCCAAAATTGTTAGCGATCGCGTAATGTTGCCTGCGATGCAAAAACAACACAGGTCATTGCTTCGACTATTTACATGTATTTCCTTGTAGCCAAGACTCTAAGCCAGCGGGGCAGATCAATCTGGTCTTTAGAGATTGCAAAAGAAGTCATTGATATTCAGTCCGCCATGACCGAGTCATTTACAGGTGACGTTGTTTTTATGGCAGACCTGGGTCGGAGATCTGGGTAAAGGACGGTTACTACCAGTTCAGTAGGAAATTTCGATACAAGACTTGGTAAGAACTGTACCACGGTACGTCAGCAGAAGTCACCAAAAATGTCATACAAGACTTCGAGAGTTATTCGTTGAGGTGCGTCGTACCTCATTCAAATGGAAGTCACTCACATTTTGAATCCGTAGAGGTTCGCGACATTGAAGCATTGGTGGGAGCCAACAGTTGAATCTATCACTGCAACTACAAAACAATGAGGATCAACACTAGTCAAGTCTTTTCAAAGTGGTTGCTAGATAAGAGTTTCTACCCCTACAATGAGTTAAGGGCTACCAGGTACAGCTTTGAGTGCAGGTATGTTTTGCTGGAAGCAGGAGAGGTCCAGCATCCCAGTTTCAGATCCTTGAAATGTGTGGCAGTAAGTAGCTTTGACACTCCCAGCTTGGAACAACTCATCATGAGTGGAAGTGCCAAGCCCATGACTCCTGATATGAGTTGCATCCTTGACAGCTTGGAATCTTGGGGATACTACCACAGCATTGAGTGGTACAGTATTGTTCTTGACATGCTAGCATCCATGGTTGAAGAGGAGCAACCTACAAGCAAGGAGAAGATGTACAAGCAATGCATTTACTGGAGAGTTAGAGTCAAGGCACATGAGACTTATGAGTATGAATCCATTGATCATGATGCTGTGATGACTTACTGGTCTGCATGGTTTGACAGGACTTATCCAATTGTCAAAGTCTCCTTCAGGGTAATGACACTGATGAGTGAGGATTTTACCAGTGATATCATTACCTACATCCAGACAAGGGGAATTGTTCCTTACCCTCCAATTATGGATGGACCAGATTCCATCACTAGCTCTGAAAATTGAGAGATTTGAAAGTCTTTGTTTGAGTTTGTTATCCAAGAAGTAAACCAGTAGCCCAACAGTAACAACAGATAGTGAAACTTACCAGAACCAACCATCAACATTCCTTTGACAGTGAACAACTGTAGCATTGGCACAGTCAGGGCCCATCTTCCCATCTTGGTGGTGTTTCTGTAGCTGGAAACACTTCCCACAGAACTCTCTCTTGCAGCGACTTGTGCCATTCCTTTCCCTCCCACCTTTACCCTCCTCACTCGTGTGTTCCACTTTCCTCCAACCACACACAATGCAAAACATCCTGCTGTTGAAGACTATCCTTGCTGGCGGCACTGGTGCCTGCAGAGGTACAGTTGGCAGCATCATGGTGTAAGGCGCAATGACACGACCCCCAACTGTTGTTGGTGCATAGTTACCGACAGCGTTGACAGTTATGCCGGCATTGAGAGTAGTAGGAACGCCGTACGGAGTGATTTGTCCAGGATTTTGTGTATAAGTCGGTGCTTGAGTAGTATGGGGAGGAGCGGTTGCTGGAAGATGCTGTCGGTTTTCACGTAGACGGTGGTGCATTCGCTGCCGGTTTTGGTCATCACCACCAGTCGATGCCTGTAAGCTGCGATGTTCTTGTAATTTGGTGAAGTAATCGATGAGCATGGTTGTTGACTTAAGACGGATCTGTGTAATATTCTCCCCTTGACTCATCCGCTTGAATCGACTGGACACTTCATCATTCCACCGCCGACAGAAAGAATGATAGGATCGTGGACCGCTACTGACAGACTTGCTGTAGTCAGCGCTCCATTCATCAAAGAGCTCTGCTTCCGCTTTTTCAACCTCAGTTGCCACAACACTGCTGTCAGGAGATCTGAAGGGTATCCATGGCTGTGTGTTGGTCAAGCGATGGAATGCTTGAAGGGTGGTTTCAACCGTATTGGCATTGTCCGGTAAAAGACGGCTCAACTCCTCTTGGATTTTCTTGTGGTTGATCGTTCGATCCGCGATGTTGGCTTCAGTCGCCAAATCAATTACCATTATCTGGCGATTGTCCTGTTCACTTGTGTTCACCAAATCGTTTTCGTTGATAAGGACCTCCACATCAAAGTCATCGCCAAATAGTTGTCTAAGTCCAGCAGTGGCTTCTTCGTCTTGGGATGCGGTTTCGGCTTCTTCTTGCCCCTCTACCTCATCATCTGAGTTAACGATGTCCCCATTGGTGGTGTTATCTGTTGGGTTCGCTATAAGATCAACAGTAGGATGGGCATACTGAAAGCCCATGTATTCCTTCACAGGACAAGTGGTTGGAGCGGCAACTGACTTAAAAGGCAAGTCATTCTCTGCATACCCAATCGTCCGGGCATAATTGTTGACCATCAATAGCTTCTCTGTATGTACAGTTCCGTGATCTTCAGCTCCAAGGCGAGTTATTGCTCGTCTGTGGTTCCTTTCTTCAAAAAAAAGAAACATAAGTCGCTCTGCACGATGAATACCTAGTGTCATTGGCGAAATGTACCAGTGGTCAGAAAAAAGAAACAGACAACACAAAAGCGACATGTGCTGTAGCATACGTACCCACATGAGTAGCAGAAAGGATCTTATATGCGAGATCCAAATTGTCTCGCTCATTGGTGTTGGTTCCCCTTGCCACCAAGACTTCACCAGTAACTGGATTCTTTCGGAAGATATTTACCACAGCAGAAGGTGGATCGCTCAAGCAGCCCTTGTCAATATGCTTGAACTGTTCCTGCACAAGTGCTTGCAACTTACTGTTCAGCGACTTGAAGAATTTCTTTGGTCTTGGAGCTGGATCGTTTTCTGCCATTGTCGCCAATCGACCATCTGTTTCTGCATCCTTAGCAATGCAATATTGGAGAACTGCTTCAACATTCTTTCGTAGAATATCCTTTGGTGGAATGCTGGAGTTCGCCGCTCTAAGTACCTGCTTGTTGGTTGGAACACGACCATTGTTCTTCTCCAACAGGAATTCCTTGGCACGCTCAAACTCTGCTTGATCCACATTGAAGAGTGCCTTGTGCATTAAGGCGCGGAAGACTCCAGCAAGAGCAGAGGTGGTTCCGGCCATTAAATCATTCCATCGCTTCATCCAGTGAAATGCATCCAGCTTCACAAGCGCACCAGGAAACGCATCCTCCATCATCTTACAAACTTGGCAGCAGTTATCCAAGTAGACAACCTTCACAGCTTCCTCGTTTTCACCCACAACTTGCCCTTCCTTCTCCAATCGATGTCGTCGGTTCCTGTTGAGTCGTTTCCGAAGTATAATGAGGTCTCCCTTGATTTCGCTGAATGACTCTGTGTTTTTCAGAGCTTTCCAGAAGATCGTCATTCCATCCTCATTCTGAACTGTGATGATGCACTTGAATGGGGCGAAGCTGCTCCCTTGCTTCGACCAAACTCTGATCTTTGATGCCAGCTTGTAATTGAAATCAATCTTCACAATACAGGCCTCAAGTCCTTGCATCTTGCTTTCCATGAACATCTTCCGGTGATTGAAGACGCTGGTTACCACAGAATCAATCCTATGCTTGCTGAAAAGATGACCGTTGAAACCTTCCTTGTTGGTGAATTTGGAGAACAATTTGGGCCGGGACGGTTCTTCTTCTTTGGTCTCCTCTTCGGCCCCTTCATTCCCATCATCATTCTCTTCCATGCTGTTCCGATAATCAATCACAGCTTGAATGGCCTCGCCATGTTCTGTTTCTGCCTCCATGACGTCTCCTTCCAGATCGTCTGCCCTTGCCTGGAGACCATCATAATATTCCTGCACTTTTCCCTTCCATCGTGGAATCAAATGTCGGAGTGACCGAGATACTGTATCAGGATGAGTAGCCAACAATACATGCATGGATGGAATGCCGGCTGCTATGAGGCGGCGAAGCTTGGTACTCCCCAATCCTGGAATTAAATTCCTGTTTCCGTGGATATTGTGGTTGTCCTTCTCAGAAAGCAGAGTTCTGAATTCAATGTCCTTCTCAGCCCTTCCAACAGCTGCAGAGTGGTCCAGGCGGCAGCGCTGAGCGAATGCTGCCTTCTCATTTCGAATTCTTGTAAGACGGCCAAGCTCTGGGTCATCGATTGGTTTGGTCAAGTATGGAACCAAAGTTCTGGTCCGTCTTCTCTTGCGTTCCACCTTCTTTGCTCCAATGGCTGTAAGATACATTTGATATAATAGAATGTAGTGATCATAGTACATGTTCTTCAACCTGCGTTCAATGGCTGCGGTTGACGTTGTTGTTGATTCTTCCACAATGTACCGGTAGAGCTGTTCATCAAGTCCATATCCTTTCCCAAGGAAGAAGTTAAAAAACCCAAGATACTTGGATGCATCCAGCTTCATTGACAGCTTGTTGTAGCCAGCGAAACGTCGCCCACAACGTGTGCAGAGGTAAAGGACCGTGTCGAGATATTTGTGGGTGTTAATACCGAAAAGCAAAGTTGGGCAATTAAGCCACCTGGACTTGTTCACATCAACATGATCATTCTTCTTGCAGTGCGGGCAGCATGGCACATGCTTGTCAATTATCAAATGGGGAACCCAGGCAGCAATGGGTCTGCAGTAGAACGAATCTTCGGTCGTCTTCTTTGTGGCGCTGTTCAGGAGGTGACTGTCATTCGGTCCACTTTGCGTGCTGATGTTTCTCCAATTGTGACTGGCGAAGAACGTCGATCCTTCAGCATCAATAGACCGACGGGTGCGCTGGATGAATCTCCATTGTGTACCATTCAGGCTTCTTGGTTTGCCGGTTGTCGCCATGGTCGCAGTATCTCTACAACAGCAATAGTAGTGTCATGGCCGATACTTTACAATGTGAGCGTGGAGAAGAAAACAGCAAAGATGGTACGTCGCGCTGGCAGAGTTTAGCCTGCATTAAGAAATTCTCCAATGAGCGTCCGTTTCTATACAAAAAGTGTACGAAGCTTCTGAGAAAATTTCTGAGGGAGGAACGGGATTAAAAAACCGGACAAGATTGGATTGAAGGTTTCGTTGGGTGCTACAGAGAGTAAGGGTGGGAGGGGCTAATGGTATTGAAATCTGACAGTTTCGCGTCCTATAGGATATGCTCGTTTAAGGGTGATGACATACCAAGGAGGGTGCTGGATTTAGGGGTCGATCGTCATATGACGTCAGGAGGTCTGACCTCCCCCCCTCCTTTTTTTTCTCCTCCTGTACGGGACTAGAATAGATCCAGACCGGGTCGGAGGAAAGTGGGATTCTGTCATGAAAACCTCAACTATAATAGGCCAACAACGGCAACTTTGGTGCATGTGCCTCTCCCCAGCAATTTGACAACGGAAAAGGTTCCCTGTGAGCATCAATTCCAAATAGGATAAGATGTTGGAGCCTGTGATTGTCTAAGAGAGTTGGGTCCTGGATAGGATGTTGCCCCTCTGGACCTCACGGTGTGCGTGGGAATCCTCACGCACATGATTGAGATTGATTCATCAGCCAGACACAATGGGATTACTAACTGGCTAGAATGACGGGAGCTTGCTGGCAGATCTTGCTTCGTGGGAGCTGGTGACGCAGGTCAGCCCGTGGCTGAAATTTCAGGATTGTTCGAAAGGGTTACTTCAGTCCTTACACTTGCAGTTATCATACCAATAAGTTAGTTGTTCTAATTCTTGTCGATTGTCGTCCAATGAGGTTTCTCGTAGACTACTACCATGGTAGCTAGCTAGACTACTAGCTAGAGTACGTGTTTCTTCTTCTGGCTTCCAGAATTTGGACCGTCACTCGAAAGAGTGGCTCTCGACTCGACTCTCGACTTTCTTCTTCTAGCAGTACAAGCCAGTATGGCTGTGGAAAAGCAAGGGACGGAGGAGAGAAAGAGCCGGTGGTTTTTTCTTCTCAAACAAAAAAACTCGACCATGCATTGATGGGATGGGTCTTTGTTAGTGTGGGTGTGAGCGTACTATGTCATAGTAAATGTGTGGTGGTGGTGGCGGCGGTGCGCTTTTGATTGTGCTTTTGCTGTGCAGGTTTCACGGCAGCCTCCAGTCGAGCGAGGATGAGACGGTACCAGTTGTAGGTAGAGCCATCTATTGGGTTCCGTCCTGAATGAAGGATAGGATACCGTGCGGCCGGACGTACCACATACCGGTGTGAGGCAGGTTGTCAAGGTTGAAGAGGGGCTGGAGTAGGCTGCTTGTTCGCCTGGGCAAGCGCAGTGCTCAAGACTAACAGTCTGTGGCACCAAAGCCCTTTTAAAAGCGCACGTAGATGCACCTTTTTGTCCATCTCCCTAGCTAGAGTGACTCTAAAAGTCTTCATTGCTAACACGAGATCGCTAGCTAGCTAATAGAGTGCTAGCTACTCGTAGCTAGCTCGCAGTAGCTACTGTACCAGTAGCCAGTAGGATAGATTTCTTGTCTTATTAATTGCATGTGGTGCACTCGGACACCGATGGTACAGTACCGGTACGTCAGTCGTCAGTCACCAATGCCCAAAGGGAAGCTTGAAGTACCGGCGGCTCGAGCTTTCAACGCCTCGTCTTCTCTCTCGCAATGTAAGCTCGGAACAACTCAAAGAGACCAATCTCTTCCAACGAAACGAATCTCCAACTATCACAAGCTAAAAGAGTTTATTTTGGAAAACAGATCAACCATGAGTATGGATCAAATGGAAGCTGACCTGAACATTCTCATTGAGATAAGTTCCGGGCGAGGTCTTTTGATCGGGGATGTCAAGAGTTCGGATCCCTACGTTGTCGTCACAATGGGAAAGTTTGGGGAGGTTCACAAGACAAAGCATATTTCCAAGACGTAAGCAATGATATCTATCTGCAGTTGACTTTGACAACAGAGCTTGCTTCGTCTACAAAGGTCATGAATCTCACCCTCTTTTCTTGTCTCCGACAAACAGGCTCAACCCCGAATGGGGGCCCGAACACAAATCTACTTTTATCTTGAACGTACCCTCCTTCAAGCTTGTAGACTCGGATGGACTTACGTTTACTGTAAAAGACTATGACATGCTGAGCACCGATGAAGACTTGGGAACGGTACAACTTTCTGTAGGTGATGTGATGACAAAGGGAAGCATGGACATTATGTTGGAACGAAAGATAACTCCCCCTGCGGAGTCTGCAGGCAAAGATGCAGGATATTTGACAATTCGCATTCGAAAGGCAACACCAGAAGATGCACAGTCCTTGGCAAAGGGCGAAAAAAAGCGTTTGTTTGCAATTAAAACTGGAGTGTTTGACGGTGATGGCAAAAAGGGTGTGCATGATATGATGGTTTGAAAAAGGAGTTGGTCCTCTAGTTAGAAAAAGTTACAGTACACGTATTTGCGACGTGGTCTCGACCTCGTTGATTTTGGGCTACGGTGTCTGGGAAACCCAACAAATACATTTGGTCTTGAGAGGGCGGCGTTGACAAGAAAGAATGGTTCTCAGGCCAGAAGAGGAAACAATTGAGAGAGAGGTATCAGGAGGTAGCTACCATCGGAATGTCACCATGTTAATAAATTAGTGAAATGAACAAGTTTTAGAAGAATTAGTTTGGCCAGAGTTTTGAGTTGGAGCGGCATGATGAAGAATCTCTGGGATTCCAGCTTTAAAAAGGATGGGAGTGATGACGGAAGCTCTCAAATATATAATAGTACAGTACCAGTAGCTGGGCAGAAAGCCATCTTTGTCGTCTTCCTGAAGGAGCGAGTGGTGGGCCGCTTTAGCCATCAGTCTTCTTCAGCCTTCATTCATCACTGAAAAAGGCTGCGTTCAAATAAGGAACACATCGATCCAGGACACAACATGTCCTGTCTAGCTAGCATTGCTGGACTCCTGAGCTACCACGTACAGCTACACAATGTGAATGGCTGGCCAGAAACAAGTATTTGTGGAGACGCAGCAATGGTGCAGGTCAGGAATTGATCAAACCACATCGGTGGTTGCAACTTGAGTTGGCTTGTCGTTTGCATGTTTGAGTTGTGTACCTCCTGATAGCTCTTTTGGTAGCGATGGGCGACAACATTAGCAGCTAGAGTATGAGGAATTGCTTTCTCGAGCATCCCTCCCACCACCAGACAAAACCGTTTCATAGCCCAGCTACAGTACTAGCCGGTGGCCAGTTCCCTGCGCCTACCGTAACGCTTGCTTCCGAATGAAAGAGCCAGTTGGGTCGCTGGGACTGGATCCAAGATCCAAGGACACAGGCAACGGCTGGATATTGCTTGTTTACCGTTGCCTTTGGTTTCTTGCAAAATTTAAATTCAATCAAATTGTATGATTTTAAACAATATTCTTTAAACAAAATCATTTTGAACACTTTAAATCGAATATTTATCAAGCTAGTTCACAAATTGCGAATTTGTGTGAAATCATTTTTCAAAACTATCAAATAGACTGTACTCAGCGAAGATCCACCTTGTCGACACTTGCTTTGCTTTCGATGACACAATTTCGTTGAAGCAGACTTCTTTGATCGAAGAGAGAAGGAGACAGCGGGATATAGCGAGAAAGCGGCAGAAAAGAAGAGCAAACGAGATCGATACAGTAGTAGGGAGTGCCAAGAGAGACGTACAGTAAAGATGGCGGAGAATCCGGATGATCATGTGTGCCTCTACATCGAGATTTTGGCCTGCAGTGACTTGTTGATTCGAGATCGAAAGGCACAGTCGTCGGATCCTTATGTCAAAGTGAAGCTGGCAGGAAAAGATATTCATCAGACCAAGACCATACTCAAAAAGTAAGTTTCTGTCTTTTGCGTTCCCTGGAACTGGATTCATGATCATTTTTGTCTCTTGTTGTGGCTCATGAAAACACTTTGCTTTTGATCCACACAGCCTCAATCCCGTTTTTGGAGACGCGGAGCAACATGCTTTTCTATTGGATTGTCCTAAAAAACAGCTCATTGACAATCAAGGACTGCTGTTCAAGGTGAAGGACTGGAATCGCTTTGCGGATCAGGACATTGGTTCTATCCAAGTTTCGGCGGCGGATTTGACCAAGGCGTCTGGAGAGACCATGGAGTATGTCTTGGAGCCTCCTTCCGATGTTCCCAAGGACACACCTGTTGGGACACTTACCATTGGTTGCTGGCAGGCCACGGATGCTCATTTGGAAAAACTCGGAAAGGACAAGAAGGGTTTACGTGGTTTTGTGTCGGGAATTCAGTCCAAGGCACACGATATTACACACAAGGCAGAGGAGAGAATGAAAGATTTGGGTGACAAAATGCACGTCAAGGAATTTTCCCAGGCATTGACTCCCAGTTTTATGAAAAAAGACGAGGAAACGCCAAAACCATTTGGCTCTGCAATTACCGACGAAAGTGAGAAAGACAGTGAGGAAAAAGAAGTCGTCAATACGGAGGACATTGATGAATATGAACAAAAATACTTGGAAGAAGTCCTCCTTGTGGTGGAAGTTGTAGCTGGACGAAACTTATTGATTGGCGACAAACATAGCTCTGATCCCTACGTCAAAGTCATGATGGGCGAGGACCAAATTCACAAGACAAAACATATCCTCAAGACGTAAGTCTTTAGGGGCTGGCCTGACCTGTATGATGTTTGTGTTTGCATGTGGGCGTTGTCTAATCACTCGCTCTGATATTATTCCAGGCTCAACCCAATCTACACCCCTGAAATCGGGTCAACTTTCCTTCTGGAATGCCCTGCGACAGATCTTGCCGACCAGGGTGGATTGAATTTCATTGTGAAAGATTGGGACCGCATTGGAGTTAACGATGACCTAGGTACAGTAGACGTGTCTCATCTCAATTTGACCAAAGCCACTGGCGAAGCTATGGAATTCATGATTGAGCCTCCAAAGGGAGTCAACACGGAACCAGGAGAGGCTGGATACTTACTCATTCGATGCCGAAAGGCGAGCAAGGCGGACGCCGAATTCTTGAAGGATCCGCATCATGTACCAAAAAATATGTTCCCAACAACAACAAAGGAAGCAGCATCGTCTGCATGGGCCTCTTTGGAGAAGCAGTCAGAAGATGCACCCGAGCTGAAGGTAGAGCCCAAAACGTCAACCGAGGAGGACCCCAATCTACCTGTTCCGGACATGACGGACAGTTTGCACATCAGGATTGAAATCGTCAAGTGTCGTAACTTGATTGCTGCCGATAGGGGGGGCACGTCCGATCCCTATGTCAAAGTCAAACTCGCCAACAAGGATTTGCATGAAACAAAGCACATTCTCAAGACGTAAGTGCGAGAACACACATTTTCCTCTTCAACGTCTTGTGTCCGGTCGCTAATATGAAATGGTTCTTTTTCTTTGCTTGCTGTCCCTCCTGTCCAGTCTCAATCCGCTCTTTTCGGACGAGACAGATTCCACATTCGTCCTCCACTGTTTGGCCAAGGACCTGTACGACGCCAAAGGGCTTCAATTCAAGTGTAAAGACTACGATCGACTCGGCAAATCGGATGAATTGGGTACTGTTCAGGTGCCCCCTGGTAAGATTTACAACGGAAAAGGAGAGGATTTGGAATTCGATATCGCGCCTCCAAAAGGCCAAGAGGGAAAAGATGCAGGAAGTCTTACAATTCGGTGCAGCGCGACTACAGCCGACGACCACACTGGTGAAAGGAAGAAGTTCCTTGGCATGAAGACTCCCCAAATTGAAGTTCCGAAGATCGCCATTCCCACAATGAAGCCGCTGACGGCGGTTTCGGAAATGCTTCATCTTAAGACTCCTGTAACTACGCGCAGCGTTGAATTGGATGAACCAAGGCCACTCTTCATTGAGATTGTATCATGCCGAAAGTTGCTAGGCGCCGATAAAACAGGGCTATCGGACCCGTACGTGAAAATCAAGCTAGGCAAGCAGGATTTGCATCAGACAAAGCATTTGGAGCAAACCTTGGAGCCAATTTTTGAGCCAAGACACAATCCGTACTTTGTTTTGGACGCAAATCCAGCTGAAGTTCGACAAGAAGGAGGCATTCTTCTCAAGGTTAGTTATTGATTGGGTCAAAGGCGCTTCTTCTTTTTGTTTTGTCCGTTGGCTCATCTCTTCGGTGGAATCATTCGTGCTCCGTGGCCCGAACAGGTCAAAGACTATGATATGTTTGGAAAGGATGACGACCTTGGCGAGGTCCTGTTGGAAGCGAAAGCTCTTTATGAGGCAACCGGCGAAAAGACTGAAGTAAAGCTGAACCCACCCAAGGGGAAGGCCGAAGAAGCAGGCTTCATTTCATTTCGTTGCCGCCCAGCCACTGCTGACGACAGGGTTCAAAGTAGGACATTGTTGGGCGGGTTGACGGGAACGGTGATGCCGAAAACTGATTATGGGCCAAAGGATCTGTCGCTTCTCATTGAGATTGTTTCGGGCTGGCGTTTGCCAATCGCGGACTTGACATCGAGCGGTAAGTTTGAAACCACTCAACATCGAATTCTCGCTCCTATTCGAGACTCTCATGCCGTCGCTTTTGTGCTGCTGCACTCTAGATCCGTATGTCAAGATCAGAATTGGCTCCTACGACTACCACAGGACGAAGCCAATCAAGAACACCCGCGATCCTATCTACACGATCCAGCACCAGTCTCTCTTCATTCTCGAAGTGGCAACAAAAGAAATCAAGGACAACGACGGAATCACGTTCGAAGTCAAAGACTACGATTTCATTGGCAGCAACGATATGCTTGGCACGGTCGTAGTCCCCCCTGAAACGATCTTGGAGGCCAAAGGCGAGAGGCTTGAATTGCAGTTGAAAAACAAAGGCAACGACGCAGGTTTCCTGGCAGTGCGATGCCGACCTGCAACAAACTACGACCGCGAATTTTTGCAGGGCGTGACAGGCCGCAGTAAGAAGCGAGACTTCATGGGCCTCAATGCCAGTTACGACAGAACAATGGCGCCAAAGGGAGGAGGGGGAAACGTACTCAAGACCATGTTTACCAGAAACAACAAAACTGAACATGGCGTCAAGAAAGTAAGGATGTGCCCTCGCTTCAAACAAAGTGTTTTTTTTGTCTCGCTGCTAACCACTGTTTTTGATCTGATCTAGTATCGAGTCCGACCATTCCCCGATCCGGAGCGAAAGGCAGACACTGAATTCATGTCAGAGAAGCAGATCGAAGCAGAGGCTCTCAAGGATTCGAGAACGTGAGTAGAAATGTGTGCTATGTGTGCCCATTAATTGGATGCCATTGAGCTAATGATTGTATCTTTTACAGCTGGCTGGATGTTGGCTCTGGCGACTTGGGCAAGGTCTATTGTGAGATTATCGGATGCGATGGACTACCCAACAAAGACCAGGATTTGGGCAATGGAAACAAGACGGATTCATTTGCCGCTATTGTATATGAGGACGTTGTCGTGAAGACTGACGTGATCGATGACTGTCTATCTCCGCGGTGGCTTCCTTGGATGCAGCGAGCTTTCATCTTCCGTATGATGCACCCTTCGTCCAATTTGAACATTTGTGTTTTTGACTACGACCCGGGTACGTTTGCGCTCGTGTTTCGAACGTTCATCTTTTGCAAACGCAATCTCAGCATTGCATCTTTGTACAGGTTTTGCTGGTGATCATGATATTTGCGGTAGAGTATCCATTGACCTGGCAAACTTAGTGCCTGGAACGGAGTACGTGCTGGTAAGCATGCAATTCAATGTGCGGTTGAGTTGGTCATTTCTTTCTTGGCTCAACGCTGTTTGCTGCAATGGCGCCTGTGACACGCCCAGCGGTACAAGCTTTACGAAAACTCGGCTTACGAAGAGAGAGAACCAAAGGGCATTCTGATGGTTCGACTTCGCATGGAGCTTAAGGGCCAGAAAGACATGCTCATGTCGTACCTCCAATATCCGGGGCCCCAGTTTTTCGTAAATGTCAAGTCAGCCAAAGACTTTGACCTTGTGTAAGCAAACTGAGAGTTCTTGTGGTTGACGGTTGTATCTATCCACTTGATCTGTGTGGTGTCCTTATTGCGTTTTGCGTGCACTTATTGACACAGCCGTCAAACAGTTGGAGGCCGACAGGATCTCACGAGTTACAGCACGAAAACAATCGGACTATACGTGGAAGAGCTGACAGGTTACTCGGAAATCACTTATTACATCTCGGTAGGCTTTTGGGTGTGTTCTTATCTTCTTGTGTGTCTCGGCAAAACTCAACATCTTTTGCTTTTTGCACCGTTCGTTCAGGACACTATTGTTTCGCTATTGTTTTGGCGGGAGCAAGTGAAAATGTTTGGAATTTGGGTGCCCTTGCATTCTCTCGTGTTATTTCTCTCTGCGATTATTCTAGCAGAGAGGCCAACTTTGGTATGCTCCCGGAAGGATAATTCCTGCCTTTGGGTGGACGAATTGAATTGACAAGTTAGTTTCCTCACCAGTGATTTTTTGAACTCCACTTCCTTCACAGTACCCCGCCTTCTATTTCTTTTCGCTGGGATGGTACGTCAATCCGTCTTTGTTAAAGTTGTCTTGATGTGACTCGCACACTAACAAGCTCTATTCACACATCTTGATAGGTCCATTCTTGCAGTGGGGTACTGGCGAAACAACAGCTCCAACCCCTGGGATAAGACCCAGACAGCATTTGGCCTCTTGACTGCGCTTATCACTGGAGTTTCCATTCATGGCCCCCCAAAAAAGATTGGAGCACACGAGAAAGAAGAAGAATCCAAGGCAGAGCAAAAAGCAATCAGAGACAAGAGGGAAAAGCTCAACAAGCAACGCGAGGAAGTGTCGAAAGCCCAGGTTGCCTTGGCGCAGGAACACCAATCTCAAATGTCTCAAGTGGGGGAACAAAGTGCCAATACAGATATCTCAACCAATGCTGGTGGCGTGTCGTTGGACCCTTTGAAGGTCGTGTTGTACCCTCTTCAGCTGTATTTGGGCTTGGCTTGCAGAACACTTCGACTAGTCAAGAATGTTCTCATTTGGGATGAGCCATATGTGGCGTTCATCTTGACTTTTGTATTCTTTGGGATCGGCTTTGTTCTCTTGTTTGTCCCTTGGCTCTTCTTGTTTCGATGGACCTCACGCCTTATTGCTTGGGGTTTGCTGGGTGAGTTTCCTTTTGATTGAATGTGGTGCTGGATTTCACGTCTCTCAACCAATCATCAACCAATCATACGGTACCATTGTCCTTGTTTGCTGCAGGACCTCACATGAAGCTGGCTGACATTTACTGGTATCGAGACTTTGAAAACATGAGCGAAGAAGAACAAGCGCAGCAAATTCGAGATGGGTTCACAGCTCAACTTGATGCTGCTCGAGCTCTCGCCGCCCAGGCTCGAATCGACAATGAACGAGCCATCAAACTCAAGGACATCAAGAAGGAGCTTTATGGTAAGTGGTCTTCTGATCCTGCACTCGATGACAGCTTGAAGCGAAATCTTACATCGTGGCATATTTCATCGTGTTCGTCCACAGGCAAGTTTGTTACTTGGGTTCCGGTGCTTTCTTTCGAACGCTTTCCCGACGTTCCGCTGCATTCGTCGTCAGCACAGCCGTACACGCCTCCGGAGAACCAAAGTCGTGCTATTCCTGAACGTGTTGGTATGTTTCAGATCAAGCTCCACCTTAAAAGACTGTTGTTGGCAATGGCCGTTTTCTGACTTCGTTCTTTCTTTCCGCGTGTTCTTCACTTGCAGCCGGGCAACATCTTGTCGGAGACATGATTCCACGCATTATGGATTTGGACGACCCCGGAATGGAGGTTAGTGAAGAGGCAAAAAAGAACGACTAGTCGTTGGATATTTCCTTGCCAATACCGGAACAACAGAACGGACGAAAGATTTTCGGAAGGAACTGACGTCGGATGAAATAAAAATGATTGTGTGAGAAGCTGCTACCACCCTCAACAGCTATTAGCTAGTTCCAAATCCAAAGGCAACATATTAGGACACGACGCTTGTTTAGAAACTCTGAGTGGCAGTCTGTGTTCCATGGCGGACGCACAAAGTAACCGCAAACAGGAAGCAAAAGCCTGCCACCAGGTTAGCCGTCAAGTTCTTTGCTGTTGGTTGCTTCGTAGCGGTACCACCGCGTGCTAGATTGCGAATGCCTAACGAGCCGGATCCCAGTCTTACATTCGACTCGCTGGGAACTTAGGCGGATCCCCAACCCCTCCACACAACGTATGAACAATGTATTCGGCTTTGGCGGACAACTGGTCAGCAGCATCCCGTGTTTCAGCCTCTGCATAGACGCGCACGACATCTTCAGTTCCACTGGCACGAACAAAGCAACGGCCATTCCACTCCTTCATTGCCGCATTTAATTCTTCCTGAACATTCTCTGGAGCTAGGCAGATTGTATCGTTCTCGTTTGTCTTGACGACATTGCCTTTCATAAAGTAGTGAAAAACAAACATGGTTGATTACCACGAAAGGTGTCAGCATCACTAACTGGTGGCACGCAGACAGACACAATGATACTCGAAAAGCAGTCAGCTCAGCTCACTTACGATCTGTAACTTTGAGCTTGCTCATCCTACTGGGCATATCCGAGTAAAGCTGGTTCCATGCTTTCAAATCCCATCCTTTGATATGGAGAATGGCGTCCACCAACAAAAGGTCGCTGACGGCATCACCCACCGCCTGATTGATGAGTGCCGGCAAGACCCGCAGCCGCTGGAGCGAGAGTGGTCTGGGTGATTCTGCTGCCATGAACAGTGCTTCAGCCTGCGCAATATAGGAATAGAATTGTGGCCCAAAGACAACCGTGCCATGTCCATTGGCTTCGAAGTATACCCCAATGTCAAAGGACTTGGCCGCGTGGTGGACATGCTGCACGCCAGTCTTGGCAATCAAGACATTGTCCGAGCCAAGAATGTTCTGTCATATATAATATAACACAAGAGAGGGCTTGGCAAATTAGTCTCCAGGTTCAAACTAAATGTATAGCAAACAAGCACCCATAATCAATGATACGATAAATGGAAGATCATCATCAACGTCTCCTACCTTCAAATACTTGGTGGAAGCCCCATTGGCATAGGCCGTTTGCACAGCCCCCAAGGTCAACTGACCCATACTGTTGTTGATATTGCCTCCTTGCTGCTGCTGTTCCTGACAAGCCTGTTTCAATGCGGCGACTTGGGCTTGTAGAAATTCACAAATCAAGACGGTGATTTTATCTCCATCGAGGAGAAAGAATTCATGGCTATTTTTGTGGAAAAAGACAATTCGGTCGGCATCCCCATCGACGGCAGCACAATACTCCCATGGCAGTGCGTCACTGTTACTTTCGTCGCGATACCATTGCGGGGCTGCCATAGATTTCTGGACATGCTCCGATCCACAATTTTCATTGAGTGGACCATGGGTGGGTCCATTGATGCAGTAAAATTCTGTGGGAGCAGCCGGACACGTCGGCGATATTACGCCTTGAAGAGTGGATTGGAACAATTTTACAGAAGGATATCCGACTCCACAGGCACAATCCACAACCAGTCGTTTTGTCGTATTACTATTGGAATCCTGTGCTGCTGCTGTTTGTAGCAGTGCCAAGTAGGACCATGATAAGAGCTGATAATATCCCACGGCATCGGGTCGAATGGGTATCATGCTGGGCACACGCTGTGGATTTTGATGGAAAACGGCGTGGTGTAATAGCGGCGTGGTGGCGACCCCATGATGAATGACTTGTCCTCCAAGAGCACGGATTGTTTTCACTGCCAACTCTGTCAAGGAAGGCGAATGGGAGCGAGTGTCATGGCCAATGTGAATGATGCAGGTTGGTGGTGATTTGGTATTGGTAGATTGCTGTTCGATCCAGACTCGAATGGGATGTTTGGATCCTGCCTGATTACTTTCAGTGCTGTCACTATTGACCCAGTCTGTCAACTGTCCTTGGACGATTGGATCTGCCAAAATTTCTCCATTGGGAGCTACCAGTTTGACGCCATTATAGGATTCATCGTTGTGCGAAGCCGTCACCATGATTCCAATCGTCTCAGGAGCAGTGCCATTACCAGCCTGCAACTGAGGATACCACCACGCACAAAAGACGGCGACGCGAACCAGCACGGCATCCATGACGGTAGCATCATATCGAAATCCTGCAGTGCCATAGGCATAACGGGGCAGACGAGGAGGATATTTTTCCAGTAATCGAAGAACCTCCGATGGACTGGTGTCGTCGTTTGGAGACAAGACTTGGGGATGGAGAGAGATCATGATGTAGGTTGTCTAATACAACCACAGTGGCAAGCGACCAAAAGAAATGAACCGTTTGGAGGATCGAGCGACAAGATTTGGGAGTTGAGGAGGCGAACGTTCTATAATAATTGGCCTTGCTGGCTGCTAATTGTCACGCTTTCAGCTTTGCTGGCTGACAAACTTAGCTGTCCCAATTGCGGACGTTGTCCGACGTCACACTGCAACGAACGATTCACTTGTTGACGATGAGGTCAATGCGAAAGCTAAATTTGTTCCTTCAGAAGTCTATCAAGACACTTCCGAAGATACACTCCCATAAGTACGTCTTGTAACAAAACAGAGCATCACACTACAGCGCGCTCTTCAAGCATCGCCTGCTTGCCCACCTCATATTCCACTATACGATTTTAGTACACAAGAAAAGAATTAGTGTTCTTCTGTTCGCACGGAGTCTACGTGTTGAAAAAAAAGCATTCCGAAAGAAGAAGGGTCAGCTTGGAAAAAGTTTTGCGCTGTCTGCTGTCCATTACGGACCAGTAGTTGTAGGGAGAGGACAAGTACACTAAACAAACTCGCTAGCATCATCCAAGTTTGTCTCGTGGCGTGTCTGTCTGAAACATACATATTCCATTTGCTCATTGGTGTTGCTATTGGCTGTTCAGTTCAAAAAGCGCTTGCTTTTGGTTAGCTACCGTAACTCAAAGACACGCATACGACCACCATGTGTCGATCTACAGATAATGCCCACTCTCCCTCATTCGTGAGGAAACGCAGGAGTCCAAGCTTGGATAACCGGGCTAGTAGTGGTTCGGGGGGAGACGATGATACCACTGCCACCACCGCCGACATCAGTGACAATGGGCTGCGCAAGAGAGTCAGTTTCGACGATACCGTCCTCATCTACCATTCCGAACGGCTCAGTTCGGAAGAGAAGAGGCAAGTCTTTTACCGTCCAGCGGACTATCGACGCTTCCGTTCCGACAGTTGCCTGGAAGTACTCGACCAGCAAGTGCACCTCTCTCCTCTCGCGGAGATCTTCCAGAATGTGTTTGGTGTCAAGGCACGAAGCAGGAGCCAACAACTGGCCGCGGCAATCCCGCACTCGACGGGTTCTTCAAGGCCCGGAACACCAAGACCAACAGCCACGGATTATCCCTGGATGGAGAACTATTACCCCCAAGCAACAACTGCTCAAGAGACGCCGCGGTCCGTGGTATCCCCACCGCCTGTCACTACAGATGAGTTTGTTGACTCTCGTGAGAGGCAAACAATACGAGAACTGGCCTTTCTCATTCCTTGAGTTCCTGGACCGGAAGACCGTGACTGAAAGAGCTAAAAGACGTGCTCACTTTTTCTTTTCTCGTCACTGTCACGTGCCTGGCAGAATCAAGCAAGCGCTGGGCAAAGCACACTCACCTTCATCATCTACTCTACCCGAGAGGAGGGAAGAACCCTTTCTCACGGCATACATCCATCTGTCTGTCTCTTGTTGATTGACCCACCCGGACACTACCTGGCAAAGGGCAAGGGCGACAATCAAGAGAACAATGTTTCGCCCAGTTTGATCTGGGCGACACGATAGACACTCACCCACACAGACCCACAAACAATTTTGACACCCCTAGTGTAATTCATATTCGCGTAATAAAGTTCGTTGCATTCACATACATACATACATACATACATACACACACACGCCCTATCTTTCCTATGCTTATTGCATGGGTTGGGACTGTTGTTTGCTCGGTGCTTTGGCTGGCCGCTAGGATGGACTATGGTGCGAAGACGCTGCAACCTGAAAAGCAACCATACGTCATCTATCTATTGCAGTGACATCAAGTCGAAAAAAGAGACAGCGAGGCTCACAATTCCATAGCAGACCATGACCAAGGCAGGGGTGCATTCGAGAAATTGGTGCTTTTTAGAAATCACGGCACCGGTGCGTGGCTTCGAGACTCAACAATGATTCGATTCCAACGGTTTCAAAAGATAGGTAGCCAGGATGAATTCCAAAGTTTGCATCCATACTCTAGCTAGAACCTAGAACATACCGGTATATGCATAGCCAAGACAGGATCAATACGTATACATGTACTCCAGAAGTAGCAACGATACTAGAAATATCTGGGGGGTCCTTCTAAAATGTCTCCTCCAGGCACTTCAGAGCAGCTTTTGCTTTTGCCACGTTGTGATGACCGGTTCAGAATCTGTTGAAGCTGGGCTAATTGTTATCTTCAGATGAGGGGGCGAACGATTGCTACCTGGTATGGTACCATCTTTTCTTAACGGTGAGAGGTTCTTTGCATTCTAATTAAAACCCTAACTCTGAAGGAGAAATCTTTTTGGCTCGTGGAGATGCTCTCTCCTCTCAGGATCTCAAAGGACGTCCACGACTTGTACAACTACACATCGACATGTTCAACAAAGGACCGTATTGGCCTCATTTAAAATTCAAGAAGCTACAACGATCAATCATCATGCTGGCCCAAGATCTTCCCAAATCGATGAAAGCCGCTCAAGGTAAAAACTATGGAGACATTGATGAGATGCTGTCGGTCCAAGAAGGCGTTGCTGTACCGAAACTGGACGATGAATACAACCCCGTGGGGAAAATCCATCCCTTGATCAAGTACGCGACCAGGCAAGATCGCAAGACACACATGATTATCAAGACGTTGGCAGTTGCCTTGGCTCCTGGTGATTGCCGTGTTCTGTCGGGAAAAACCAAGACGTTTCAAGGCCCACCTTCCTTTCCGTACATTCCAGGCGGCGATGTGGCAGGAATTGTCGTCGAAACAGCTCCCGATGAAACTTATTTCCAAAAAGGAGATGTTGTGGCAGCCCGATTCACAGTGGCACCTCGAGACGCCATGGCGGAATATGCCCGGGTCAGTACTTCGGTTTGTGAAAAGGTGTCCGACACCAAGAAAATTTCTCCCGCGGCGGCTGCCGCCTTGGCCAGCGCTTCACCGGCTGTCTGTGTCAGTGATCATATCCGACCTAATGAACGTGTTCTCATCTTGGGTGCTGGGGGTGGAGTGGGAAGTCATCTCTGCCAATTGGCCCGTTACAAGGGAGCTTCCTATGTTTGTGGTGTCTCACGGGACACGAAGCGCCTACTGGAAGCTCCTCTGAGTTGCGATGATGCCATTGACTACACCAAAGAAAACATTCTGGACTCTCCCACGTATCAAAAGGAACCCTTTGATACCATTATTGATTTGGCTGCCGGAGGCACCTGGCTCCACTTGCTCGAAGGAGCTCGTCAGAACCGTCCCAGCATTGTCAAACCGGCCAGTCAGGGAGGACGCTATATTACGATTACCCCCGATGCTCCTACATTTGAAGGACGCTCTCTGTTTGCATTGTTGTGGATGTTCCTCTTCAAGCCCACAGGGCGGTGGCTGTGGAGTCGCTTGTTCAGCCGGAGAAAGATGCCCACCTTTACCAGTGCCATGGCCCTGCCGGACACCCGTGAGATCATGACTCGCACTCTCAAGTTGGCGGAGGAGGGCAAGCTCCAGGCCGTGATTGACGGGCCGTATCCTCTGACAACCGAAGGAGTTTGCAAGGCTTTTCGTACGTTGGAAAGTCGGCATCCCAAAGGCAAAGTGGTGGTTCAAGTTGCCGACTTGGAAGATTGAGAAGAAGAAGGAGAAGAAGAAGCAGGCTAGCTAGGTACGGTAGCAGGGAGTGAGTGAGTTCAAGGCCTCGGAATCCGGGCTGTGCCTCTGAAAACCAATAGACTACGGCAACTCCATAATTTAGATCTTTTTCGTAAGATTCTGGTTGTGAGGAATGCGAAGGGGTTGCTTTACTTCTGATGACGTTGTGGGGGCCATGTAAGTGTGATACAATGGAGGTTGCAATAGCAGCGAAATAAAATACTAGAGTAGTTGCGTAGTTGAATGTGTATAGTGAATCCCACGACCCATGGGATGGGAGGAATGATTGATTCTTTGGTTTGTTTCTCGTTGATTGGTGGGTTGACGGGTTCTTCTATGGAGCAGAAATCAGGAAGCCTTCGGTTAACTCGTACATAACATGAAAGTAACAGAAGTGATATGGATACTTCGGTCAACTCATACCGTAATTACTAAATGTGTACTGGTAACTACCGCAGCAGAAGATTGAAATAGTACAGTGTAAGCTACCGTACAGCAGCCAAAAGGCAATAGAATGGTTGTGTGCTAGTGTGCTAGCTAGTGCTAGTGAATCCCATGACCCGATGAGGGTTTCGATGGGTGGTAGATGGCATTGGATTCTTTGATTTGGAGAAATCAGGAAGCCTTCGGTCAACTGGTACATAACGTGTAGGTATCAGAAGTGATATGCAGACTTCGGACAACTCGTACATAAACATGCAGACTACTACATGTAGCCACAGAAGTGATATGCAGGTAGCTATCTACAGCAAAAAGTGATAGGTGGGCGGTTCGGATGGAAACAAGAATGCTTTCCACCTCAGATCCCAGATGATTTTTCTCCTTGGTCGTTGCGGAAGCCCTAATCAATCCATTGGGGGACCCAACTACCGTATGTAGTACCTACCAAATGTACTAGTATCTTGGCGGGCGAACTTCACTTGGAAGTACTGGTCTAGCTAGTAGCCACCAGCGAACTGAAACAAAAGAAGCTGCAGCTAGATAGCCAGGCGAGGAAGATCCCACCGCCCCAGGCGCAAAATGCCGCCTCTGGGGGAGCGTATCTGCTCTAGATTCTGATTCGAGTTCTTGCTGCCTGAAAGCAGATCTTTAGTGCTGCCTCAATTTGATGAACTTTGTAGTGTTGTTACTACTAGTAGCTAAAGGTCCCCACTCCACAGACAAGTTGGTTATAAGAAAGAGAGCTTTGAAGGACTATCAAGATTGTTTAGTTAGTAAAAATTAATGTCATCTTTACGCATGATAGGTAGTATACATACTGTAGTGATCGCACAAGGTTGTTGTCTATGAATGAATGGTCTCCTGAGTGGTCTCCTGAGTGGTCTTGTTTGTTTGTTTGTTTGTTTGCTTGCTTAGAGCACAAAGGCAAGTTCTCGTACAATTGATTCCGGTGATACCTGTCGCATTGCTGCTTGTACCCTGGCAGTGCTGCAGCTTTGTTGTTGTTGTCGTCTTCGTTGGATCATGATATTACGTTGTTGCATGCGGCAAGACACACCAATGGAGCTGACGATGGATTGAAAGAACCCAACGAGAGGATCTTGCTTGGATCTTGCTTCCAGCTTCTCCAGACAACATTCCGAACGAAAGCGGTGGTAGTCGGATGGATGGTAGAACATTTCTCGTACGGCAAAGGCGTCCAATCGTTCAATCACATAGACATCCACCGTCTCGTGAAAGCTGACTCGCTTCTTGATGGGTACGGCGGAGGCTCCTGCTGCTTCAACGGCCTTGCCGTTGATAATGGCAGACACCGTGATGGGGGTAATGGATTCTCGAGGGATAGCACGGCACATGGTTGTTGTTGTTGTTGTTGTTGTTGTTGTTGTTGTTGTTGTTGTTGTTGTTGTTGTTGTTGTTGTGTGATGCTTTTGATCGAGACAAAGATCGAAAAAAGTGAGACTCTTCCAAGTAAGTGGATCCTTTGCTTCGCAACTAGCTAGCTCGACGGGACGCTTGTTTGTGGTAGCTTCAAGTGATGGTGGCTCTACTGGTAACTGCCGGTAGGGTATGAGCTACTAATAGCTTCCTTCAGCAGAGAACTGGATGAGATAGGAATCGAATCTTCCGATACCCCAACAGAATGAGAATGTTAGTTGAGGCTTCTCTGCTTCTGGTTTTACTAATTTAGATTGTGAGCTCCCCTTGGCATGCCGAATACTACCACTGTAATCAGCCATCAGCAAGCCTGTGGTTGAGAGGCTCCAACAAAACAAGAAGGAGAAGGACAGGCCACTGGGGCTAGTGGCTACCGGTATCGGTGGCGAAAACAAGATCGCAGAAGCTATCGCAGAAATAAAAGAACTACACTTTGTACCTGTGTAGAATAGAAGAACAAGCTTCTTCGGTACCATTACTGGCTATTTCTACAGCCCATTTCGAGAAGACATCTTGCTCGCCATTCTGGTTCCTCTGAAAAAGGCTCCGTCATCTTCTCTGACCAATGAAATTCGAGAAGCGAAGCTAATTCCAAAGAGAAAGGCCTACTTTTGAGTTCCACGACAGAAACAAGCAGACATTACTTCCCCTCTCCATGTCCTCTTTCCTTTTTCTGCGTCACAGAGAACTTTGGTCATGGTCATTTAAGTCATTCTAAAGAACAAGACATCGCACTGGCATTCCAGTGCTTCCAGTGACCGATCTTGTCTTCGTGCTGTTGTCACGCTTCACGCTCAAGCCCTCAAGAAGACTCGAAAGATACCGTACTCTTGGTTCTTCTACGGTGCTGTACGGTAGCACCGGTACGGCACCGCTAGTCTATGGCCCACCAGAGAATCATCAGCTGCGAAAGTACTGTAGCATCGTCATGGCCCGCACTCTTCGCCATTTGCCCCCGCAGGCAGTTGGCCCATTCCTTCATCTAAACCCAAAATTTCGATGTGTGAGACCTGCCTCTCACTGCTTTTCTCTACATTACTGCAGCCTGCAGCCTACTAGTATCCTACATTTTCTGTCCAGCTCCCAAACTGGGACAAACTCCAGGAAGCTAGTACTGCGGGACTTCCTCTGGTCCCATCTCCTGGGCTCACTCCCCAAGATGCCGCTTAAGTTGCCACTCGCTCTGATGGTTTAATTCCCCCCACCCTGCCCCCCACACCCAGACCAAGTCCAGCGCCTAGCTAGACCCGCCATCTCCAACACCACACCCGGGCCCACACCAGGCCCCACACCTGGACCTACACCTGGACCTACACCAACAAAACATAAACCTAGTTCATCTCATTTCCCCACTGCAGGCACCACATGAGCAAATGCAGGGCCTAGCTAGCTACATGTACACCAGGCCCCAAATCTGGACCACTTCCAGGATCAGCCATATCTCACCTCACTCCTGGTCCCAACTCCTGAACCCTGAACCCCAACAATTTATTTGTGCTGTGGCTTGCGGTTTGTGGGAGTCAGCGAGTCCAGTCCGGTTCGCAGTCAATGGTCTACCGGCTATTGGTACCGGTACTATTAGTATTCCTCGACGGTACTCGTAGAATTACGTGGGTTCAAAGATCCTGAAGGCTGGCCAGACCACTCGCGGGAATCACACAAGACAGAAATTGAGATTCGCGGTTAGATTTTGTACGGATTCTACGCAGTGCTGCTTTGTGGTCCTCGCAATGGTACCTTGTGGTGGATCCGGTTCCGGTATCCGGTACCAACTCTATAGCTATTCTAGTAGATACACCGTATCATAGCTGCCTTTGGAACCGGCACCCTCGTCATGTGAAGTCACAAGCGTTCCGGATCCGGAGCCTAGCCAGCCAGAGATACGTCCAACGACTGCACTGTCAACCACCTAATAAAACAAAAGCAAGTGGTTGCAAACCGTACTCATAAAAGCAACACCCAAAACCTCCACAGGCAGCTACGTAATACAATGATGACTCTAGACAAGGAAAACTCGAATGAATCCAATGAACGGCTCCTGCAGCTGGTGGGAATTGAAAACCCTGGTGTCAACGACGGTAGGCGGTTTTTCGATTGTTGGTGGTTTCGTGCTTCTCCCTGCAATCAATTGAGATGCTCAACGTACATTCGTTTCTCGTTTTTTGCTTCAGTGCCTATGGGCCGGGGTGGCTTTGTAAACTCCCACCCAGGACACCGACAATACATGAGAATGGTGCGGGGTAGGAAGCTTGACTATGTATCATGCGAGAAATCTGAAAAGATCAAGGTATGTGGAAAGCCTTTCGATGCACGGGCCTTTCAAGCATAATCTCAGGCATTTTTCATTCTGCTTTGTCTAGATCGCATGGAGTATCGTGAGGGACCTTCGTTCCTTGGACCCACCAGCGAGGTTTCTACGAAAGGACAGGGCGACAGGTCTTTGGTATGACGTTGGGGACAAGAAGTTCAGAGAAAAGGTTTCGCAAGCGCTGAGAGAGCACCAGCCATTGCTAAAGGCTGTGATCGACCTCGAAGATCTGGGTTCAGACATTTGGGAGTCGAATGGGAGGGACACACAATTGGAACCAATCCTCGAGCAACGTCAATCATTGACACCCCCGGCCACGTTACGACTGCCATGCGATTCGGAACAGCGTAGGATGGCATTTGCTTCTTCCAGGGTTGAACTGAGCTCGATGCTCCATGTCACTGACATGTCTGGTTGCGACGGCTTCCGAGACGAAGGCTCCCTCAACCTAAGCGATTTCACGGTAAGTGGGGGCCCGTTCTTTGCGGATTCCAACCTCCCACCGGACGACACGGTCAACGCCGGGGAGGGCTGGGACAAGTCGATGGGATCGAGATTGCCCAATCCGTTTCAGCGAGACTCAGCTGTTCAACATTCGAGACGACATCCAAATGAATTCGAAAGCTCGTTTGCTCTTCCTCGTCTTGGTAGCACGAAGAACGGTTCTCCTCTGCACTGCAACGAGACACATCATCAACAAACCAAGCTGGGGTTTGTGGACGGATCTGGCCAAAACATGAGGAACCGAAGCGTTGTTCGGTGGAGGACGCACCCGGTTTGCAGGGCCCCGAAGCTGCTGAAACAGGGATGTTTTTGGGCTCTCTGGGCAGCAACTTTCTATTCGAGTCCAGCGACGAGCCTGAGATGATGATATTGGGCTGACAGTTTGCAACCTCAGCGTGAACTCGCAACTGAGCCAACCAGGCTCGATTTTGGTGAAGGGTACATACGGCCCCCGCTCGATCAGGAGCATGGGCTTTGCCTCGATAGTCGAGTTCTCTCTCCCTTTGCAAAGGACGATACTAATGATACAGTAGCTAATGTTTTGCACTGCAGAGGTTCAATAGTGCGTACTAGTACCGGTATGCTAGCTTACTCTGCCATTACCCTACCGAACCGGCGCCGGTTCGTCCCTTGCAGCAATTACTGGTACCCCCGTTACTCTATAGTCATCTCGGCGGCGGCATTTTCTGGGCGTCTTCGGGCTCCTTGGAAGAATCGCCCTCACTGTGTCTTCTACCTTGTCCCCGCAAAATCGCTTGAATTTGCGACTGCGTCTGCACCCTTTGGACAGCCGTCGCATACAGCTGATGATGTGTGGCAGGGTGTTGTGGTTGCGGTTGCGTTCCCTGGTTACGCAGGGATGGCACTTGAAGTGAAGAGGCGGGGATTTGGCCCAAGTCGGACTGGAATTGATACCGGGCCGTCGAAAGCTGAAGGCGCCTCATTGCCTCCTCCTCACGTTGCCTCGCAAGAAGCAGTTCTTGGAGTAGGATCTCGTCGCGTTGTTGGTTCTGACTTATCATCGATCTTTCGAGAGATTGCAAGTACCCAGGCATTCTGCCTGATTGTGACTGTTGCATCTGCTGCTGCAGCAAGAGTTGGTTCTGTAGTAACATATTATCTTGATGCCGTTGCTGTTGTTGTTGCTGCTGCATTTGCAGAGATAGGGCAGTGCCGGTCCCGGCCATCGAGGGCAGGCCTCTCCATCCAGATAAACCCGCAAGAGATGCAAGCCGTGCCTGTTGGTCTGGGGAGCCGGACAGCGGTGGTCGGTTCTGTTGTCTGAGTGCTGTGTCAAGGATGGAGTTCACTGGCAAGAAAGACGAAGCTTGCAAAGAAGAGATAGGCTGTTGAAACATCCCTGCACGATTCCTTACTGACAATGGTGATGACAGCGCATCCGCGAGTGTGCCGGGCGGAACTACGGCTTGGCGGTTCTGAGAGTCCTGCGCCGATGCCCCAGCTGTCACTGGCAGCATTCCTAGTCGCTGGGATGGGCTTCCTGTGATATCGCTTGCCCTCAAATACCCGATTCCACCTGGTCCTGGCGGCCGTGAAACCGAAGCAAAGACCTGCTGATGGGAAGCGGCCACCTGCAGTTCATTGGACGGCGCAACGCCTTGATCTTGTGGTCTTGCCGCTGCAGCTGGCTTTTTGGCATCAGAGCTATCGGAGTCGTCACTGCTAGTCGAATCGCTTTCCGCCTCCTTGATCTTTTCCTCCGCCTTTTCCTTGTCCTTGTTAGCCTCTTCGTCGTCACCAGAGTCGTCGGCAACATCTATGATTGTGGAGGTGCTGATTTTCATCTCTCTCAAGAGATGTTGCTCGTTCTTCTTGAACTGAGGATGCTGAAATGCCAAAGCTTGTCTTGGCAATGCTCGATAGAAGTCTCTCCGAAACCCCCTTAGTAGAGCACATGACACAAAGATATCAAGTGTGAGCTCCTAGTTCATTCGTTTTCACTCCAATCTGCGTTGGTTCCTTGAGTTAGCTTACCACCGATTCAGGCTTCGCACAAGAGAAGAGAGCTTGGTACCTCGGAAATGCACATCAAGGAGCTTAGCTTGCACCGTTTCAGAGTCGACGGTAAACCCATTCTCATGGGGGCTCCACCAGAGGACATCGGGCTCTATTCCTTCATTGAGGCACTTCATGATCTTGTCTAAAAGCAGTGAGAACTTAGTTAGGCAACTCCTGGACTGTCTCTTGGCGGCGCGCAACACTCCACACATACCTGGCAGACGGTGGCGATTCCTACTCTTCAGAACTTCTTGATAAGGAATCCTTTCGGCTGACTTGGCCTCCTCATCGGTTGCTTTTGCCGCAACGGGTGACTGCTGAACCATAGTACGACGACAAGAGCCAAAAACGCCATGGTGAGCATCATCCTCGATCGAAAGCAATGCAAAACCACCAAACCGTCTGACTGGCGGAGATTCGATTCATACCTTGCTTGCTTGCTGCCCCCGTATGCTTTGATTCTGTATCTCATCACTATCAGGGCTATCTTGCCGTTGCCTCTTGGACGCTGATGGTGGGCAGGACGCAGGGGAGGAACCCAGCGACCAGAAAGGTGAGCCTAAACGCCACTCAACTCAGTGCTCAGAAAACCCTTCTCTTGATTGGGGCGTCTCTTACCTTGATCCTCGGAGGACTTTGCCTCGCCTTGCTTCTTTGACCAGGGTAGTGGAGTGGTTCGTTTCATTTTGAAGTTTTATGCACTGAAGCAACCCAGAGGCCGCGAAGTCGAGAGCCCCTTGGGGCCCGGAATGTTAAAGAAACACTAAAAGGAAACGATAGCAATGAGAGGACACAAAGTCACCCAAAACTACTACCGGTAGCACGGTGAAAAGGTTTGTAAACAGGTTTACGCCGTACAACCCAGGCAAACGGTGGGAAGTGGAAGTGCCCAAAGTACAAAGTGGCTATGTTTCTTGAAGCGAACTCCATCGATCAGAGCAACAAAAGTAATTGAAGCTTTTGCTTGGAACTGTCGTCCTTTGCCAGTTCGTCAAACTGTGGATGCAGCTGTGTGGATGCAGCCTTTTGCTTAGCTGATTATAACTTTTGACCATGCACCATGTACAACGTTACAACGTTACAACTACCGTACTGCTGAGTACTAATAATAATCCAGACTCCGCAGTACTGTAGTCTGGAATCAAAGAAAGGAGCTAAATAAGCAATTAATTAAGCGCCATATCCATTATTGGCCACAGTTGCAGTTCTCTCCAGCACAGTCCTCTTCTGTATCACAAATCAGTAAAAGTGGTGTGCACTGTCCAGCTCTTTAGTTCAAGGTTGGTGGTTGGACAAGCTATCTTCACCAGCTCTTCACCCTAGAAGTTTAAAAACTTCAAGACTGAGCTCCCCACTGTCCCCAGTACAATCGTACAATCATCTGACTTTTGAAGCTCTTTTAGAGGAGGCCAATTGCATTAGGCTTCTCCGACGTCAATAATGTACTAAATGCCAGCGGCAAATACAGACTTAATCGAGTTGTAATCAGACCCCATCTTTAAGACCTGGATTCGCAAGCTGCCGAATCCCTTTAAGAGAAGTGCTTGCATGTTCTGTCAATATTCTTCTCTTCCATGCTTAACAGCATCCTGATTTCCAGTACTCAATAAATACCCACTACTCGTACTCAGCTCTTCAGGAGTCGCCACTTACTCGTTACATTGGAGTATGTAATTATTTGCATTCGTCAGGACCACCACTCACCACTTAAACCACCTCTCCAATGCAATTAACTTTCAACTTCAATCCATTCTCATCGATGAGTCATTGGGATTTATTACTTCAGATGCCGTGCCAGAACTGGACATCGTACAATCGTGGATAGTCAAACGATACGACAGAAAGTAGTAAATCTTGTTAAGACTCTTTTCTGGACACCACGAGACTTGTAAATAGTTTAGTTATGGTTCTCGGTAAATCCGCGGATGTACGACTACGGAACTCACAAATGTCTGGAAGGCCTCATTCATACGTCGCACTCATACCGTGATATCAAACACCGTCTGACCGAAGAAAAGCAACAAGGAAACCTGATAGGAGCAGGGGATCACAAAGAAGATGGGTGGTTTCCACAAGAGACGGCATCTGCTTCCGTGGACAGCTGCTGCAGTACTTGCCTAATACCTACACAGTGTTGCCAACATGTACTGGACCCTGCTCAATATCGTAGTTTCTGCTATCTCCGATCTGCCACCAAAAAGGGATGCGTTGATGCTGCCTACATGTATGTAGTAGCTTAACTAGTACTAGTAGGCTGGCTACTCAGTCACGGTGGTTGCAGATCGCACGGTGTGCTCCGTCACGCATACTGTACGAGCACCGTACCAGTCAAGACTACCTGGCCTGATCGGAGATACAGTGTAGCATTTTTTCAAGAATAGCAATGGGAGGCGGCAACCAAACAAACTCCAGTTGCCGATGTTCTTGGGAAAGCTCCAAAGTGGACCGCCGTGGTGCCGGTACCGGTAGCTCGCTCTGACGATCATGGATCGCTTTGATGATCAACGCACCTCGGAAGTTTCGCCGGGTGTTATCGACTTCGGAAGCTCTTGGAGTTTATCTGCCTTCTGGTCACTGCTGGTCTGGCTGGACAGTTTATGAGTTTATGAGAGCATGCGCGCTCGATGGAAGCAAAGCAAACAGCTGTTTTGCAGCAAGTGATGGCAGGCTCGCCCCCGGGCTAAGCTTGCTGGCAAAAACAGTTCCCTTTTTCCGAAAAGCTGATCTGTTTTGTCGCATGCGACATTTTAATGACAGAATAATTTTTACTGAAGGGACCCCTTTGCTTCCACCAATAAATCGTTGCGAATTTCACCAAACGGAACCCTGTTTGCTTCAAAATGGAACTTCACCAATCAGTCGTGCAACTGCTTTTTGGGTTCGCAGCACGCGTGGGATCTTCCGATGTCACACTTTCTATGTCACATCTCTTAAGTATACGTCACTTGAAGCGTTTTCAGTTTGCTTTGCTTCCATCGAGCGCGCATGCTCTGACTACGAGGCAGAATTCTGCTACTAGAGTCTAGACCTTCAAAACGCTTCTTCTGAGTTTTGCGTCATGCGTGCTCGTACGGTAGTGGGTAGTGGGATGGTCTCACTTGGAGCGATGGTTTGCTTGGAAGGAAGCAATTGCGCTGATCTTAGTTTAGTAGGAACTTGCTAGAAGGGTCAGTTGAATTTGGTGCCATAATTTGGTTTCGGTGCAGTTCTCCTGTACCGTCCTCGCACCGCACTGCACCAAAATTAGGGGCACTTCAACTAGCGTAACTAGAGTAACTGACGTAACTAGCGTAACTAGCGTAGGGTAACTGACGTAACTGGCGTGCAACTGATGTAACTGGCGTAGAACATTGGAGGACAACTAACGTGGTCGTCATTTCAACTAGCTTTGTATTGTAAACAACTCTACAGAGACAACAGAGCAACGGCAACACTGTTTACAATGAGTTACACTTAGTTTTCAAGCTTTTGCAGCACTTGAAGAATCACTGCAACGGCACCTGCCTCCCCCCACCTCTTTTCCAACAGCTGAGCTCTGTGAGATTCGTCCAAGTCAGTCAAACAAGATGATGATCCAAGTCAGTCAAACAAGATGGCATTGCTTCTTTGAATCAAGCTCTAGAGCAATACAATTAATTTGGTGTTAGTAGAATTCTAATGATTACTCTGTAGGAGATAAAACATACTTGTAACTCAGTCATTGATAGCTAGCTAGCTAGTAGCTATAGATCAGCACCAGCAGCACCAGCAGCAGCACCAGCATGCAGTATTGGTACATGAGTCCTCAGTCAACATGCCATGGAGATTCTTAATATCAAAGCTTTTAAATTTTTACTTTTAATATTTTTACCTAAAAGTAAAATTTCATTTTTGTACAGGCTGGTTTCTCTGCGTCCTCGCACAAAAGACACACTTGGTACATTTGCATTAACTCTTTGAGTCTCTTACTAGTTAAATTTTGGCTACTCGTTAAATACTTAAGAACACTAGGTTCTTCTAAGGACTTAACAACTTCAACTGATGTGGAAGGTGCCATTCTCCTTTAGGAGCGCTGCACCAGGGAAATGGCACCAAATTTACGCGACTCTGCTAGAAGAGTACCACACACAAAATCTACACAAACGTAATTGGCGCAGCAACACTCTTGCTCTCGTGCTTTATGAAGCCCCCAATCCTGACTACCAGGTACCGTATTTCTACTTCCTGCAAGTTGCGAAAATGATGTCCTATTTTCTAAGCCTGCAGAACGGATTGGCCTTTGATTGGCCAACGATTGACCAACGATTGGCCACATAGAATTTCGATTAGCCAAAACTTGTCCACTGATTAGCCACCAATTGGCCACTGGTAGTTGGCCTCAAAGACTATAGTAAAACAGTACTGATTGGCCAGTGATTGGCCAGAACGTGGCCAGTAAATGTCCTAGATTGGCCACTTTGCTTAGTCCATTGGCCAAGCATTGGCCAGTGATGTGACACTGTTTGGACATTTACTTTGGCGATGGTAAATAGGTTGGGCCAGTCAATTGGCAACTTGCTGGAAGCTGAAAAAATGGAATTGGGGTGAAAATTCATTCAAAAGTAAGCACGACTGCAAAACACTGGTATTTTAAATCATTTAGTACCGTTTCCGGACCCTGGAGCCTGGAGCATTTCAGGCTCCACAAATGCAAAATTGTAATTGTGAGGAATCGGCAAAATTGTAATTGTGAGGAATTAAAAATTGAAAATTGTTTTTGTTAGGGATCATTGTAATTGTGAGGAATCCGAAATTGTGAGTTGGAATTGTGGGGAATTGGAAAGTGAAAATTGGAATTGTGAGAAGTCCACAAAATTTAGAATTGGATTGTAAGAAATCGGCAAAATTGGAATTGTATGGAATTGGAAAATGTAAAGTCTAGTTGTGTCAAATTTTGACTTTTATTATCATTTTTACAGTATTAACCAAAAATATATATTTGATATTACCCCACCTTTCCAACCATTGCTATAATGGTGAGATGGGGTGATTTGTTCAAATTTTGAAGAATTGCCGGATTGGGCGGAAACTTCGCGCCATAGTTCAGCATTGGATCATCATCCAAGGTCATAGTAGTGAGTCTCAGTCCAAAGCTTGTCTTGTCACTTACTTACTTGTCATACAGCATCACAGCAACGACAGCATCACAGCAACATGAGTTTTGGCGGCAGCAAGAAGAAGAAGACCAAGTCTCACGAGTATTGGTATGAGCTTCTTTCCGCGGAGCAAGTTCGGACGTTGGTGTTGGCCGCCAAGTTGCCTGCTGCCGGTTCCAAGAAGAAGCAGATCGAACGTCTCATGGCGTGTGAATCGACGGAAACATATGGATGGGATCGCCCCAAGTCTATTGCCTGTATCGTATCCTACTTGAAAGCGAAATGTAAGGAAGCTAACCTTCGCGCCAGTGGATCCAAGTACGAGCTGGTTCTTCGTCTCGTGGAGCATCACCATCAAGACGACAAAGACAAGAATTCCCCCAAGAACAAGCGAGGCGCATCAGATGATGAGAAGGAGAATGCTGACAATAGTTTGCCCAACAAGAAGGCCAAACTTGCACTTGCGGACTAGAGAAGAGGACCGCGTTCCACCTCATGAAGCTGCACAAACAAGCAAACAAACAAATAAATTGAAATGGAACCCGTCATTCATGGGGGAATGATTCAATGATTCAATCAATTCCAAAGGAGTAGGCGTCGCAATTGATTGATGGTTCGGAACCAAAAGTATTTCGGGCTCTTTTTGAAGATCAAGACGGAGAGGGAAGCATCAAAGCAATTGGTGATTTCGGGTTGGAGGGTCAGCGCTGAAGATGACGAAGACAGGGCCATAGTGTATAATAACAAGAATAAATACCGATCTGCAAAATAGGCATCTACTCGTTTGTTTTGATTGCTTGTAGTCCTACCGGTAGGCTAGAATTTGACAACGGAATTGAGTGAATTTCTGTACTGAGATGAGAGTACTAGTACTACATGCAGTACCGGCATGGCACCAGAATCTAATCTGATTTGCTGGACTAAACACCACTGGAGTCAGCCCCAGTACTAGTACTTGTACATGCATGTAGCTGCCGAGAGTCTGCCAAGGTTAGGATCGTGTCGGGTTGTTGCGTCCTCGGTCCTCGGTTGCGTCCCCAACAACGATACTTAACCTCGGCAGGTTAACTGCCTGAGTCCTCTACCCCTTTAATGGCAAATATTCTGTCTGTGGGATCCCCCTGGTTTTTGTCTGTGGGATCCCCTCATTTTGTCTCTGTGGGATCCCCTATTCCGGTGAAGCCAGGGTATAAGGATAGAGATAATGTAAGCGGGCAAAACTGGAAATTGAAGGTTCAATAAAAGTTAGGGGTAGGAATATATCAATGTAATTTAAGGTTAGTGCACTCAGGACAAAAACACAATAAGCCAGCAGGTGTTGTAAATTTAGAGTTACGCGATCGAATGATAGCTGCAAATTATGGGTTAGCCCGTGGCAACGCCAATGCTAGCTTAATTAATATAAAACAGAAGGTTACAATGAGGGAATGCTAGTGGGCGGCAACACACGACGAAGTCGGGTGTTGTCGCCAGGGCTAGCTTAAATAAAAAAGAAGGTTATAATGAGGGAATGATACCGGGCGGCAACACACGACGAAGTCGGGTGTTGTCGCCAGGGCTACCTTGAAAGAAGGATGCAATCTCCAACAAGATCCTCTTTCTTCTATGGTATGGAAAAATCAAAGTTACTGCTGAAGTAGTGTACGATTTTTCCATACAAGACTTCCTAATCTGTACAGTAGAGCGGACAGTAAATATTCAAATTTTCACCACCTAACTCTCGTGGGTCTTGTACAGTCACAGCGAAGTTCCGAAGACTTATTCGCAGAGGTGCAACGTACCGTTGGAACCCTCATTATTTCTTGCTCACATTTTGAAGACGTATCTACTCCGTAGAGTGAAGTCGTCGAGTCATTGAAAGGGTACCGGTACCAGTGCACTACAGCTAAGCTGCTACATCACCATGTTGTTTACTGCTAGTCATGTATTTAAAGAGTGGCTAGATGTTAACAGTCGCTACCCTTACAATGGCTGAGATGAGGAAAACCAGGCAGAGTTATGTGTGCAAGTATGTTTTGCTGGAGGATCAAACTGACAGGGAAGACAGTAGAACCCAGTACTATCTTGTAAAGACCAGATACCTTTCAAGTGACATCCTTGAGCAACTCATCATGGAAGGGAATGCGCTACCAATGACTCCTGATCAGACTTGGCTCTTGGAACAGATGTTTGTGTGGGGTGTCAGGCACAGCAATGAATGGTACAGTGAAGTTCTTGCTGAGCTGGCATGGGAAGTGTATGAGCATGAACCTGTCACAAGGAAAGAGATGTGCAGAGAGGCAATCAAACCACTTATGAGAGGTGCCCTTCACCAGCAAGGTATTGGTGGAGACCATATTGAAGTCAAGTCTTTGCTACTTACAGAGTGGGAAGAGTGGTTTGACACAGAGTGTTGGAGCCTGCACAAGAACAACCTGAGTGGAATGGCAATCAGTAGTGAGCAGTACATTTCCCACAGAGCTGCATTCACTCTCCATCATGGTGGCTACTCTTACCCAATGCACCTTGACTGATTTATTTCTGAAGAGATGGAAGCAGGAGCTGTAAGATTGTTCTTGTTTGTTATCCAACTAGCTGTCAACAGTAACACTGTATGAAAACATACCTTTATTTCAAACCAGTCACCCCTTTCTGTGCAGTTCTTGCTTGTCGCCTTGGTGCATGTTGGTCCAAATCCTTCATTAGCGCCATGGTGCTTCTTTAGCTGCCAACAGTTGCCACAGTAGTCTCTAGTGCATTTTTGGCCAATAGACTCCATCTCCACTACATGATCCTTTCTCTTGTGCCCACAAGTGATGCAATATCTTCTGCTTCTGAATACCTTTCGCTGTGGCCTAAGGGGTGGGTGTGGCCTTGGTTGCCGCGCATTTGCCATGGCAAAGGGAGCGACATTTCTGTGCTGGTGCTCCACTCTTTGTGACATGCCGCTTACTCTTCCAAGTGTCATGTCTGCATTCATGGTTGCCGGATTACCAAAGGGAGTGCGGCTGTTGGTATGGTGAGTGTAGTTTGTTGTTAAAGCTTGAGCTGGCCTTGGTGCCGCTGGTAGGCTATGTCGAGTTTGACGAAAGGATGTGTTGAGTTCTTGTCGGTGTGGATCATTGGCGTTTGGTGCTGTGGCTTGTAATGAAGAGTGTTCCCTCCTCTTTTTTTAAAAGGTTTCAAGTTGGTGCCTGCTCTTCCGGTTCATTTGAACGACTGTCTCATCTCCATTGCTCCACGCTTTAAATCGAGTTGCCACCTCATTGTTCCAGTGACGCTCAAATGCCTTATAGTTTGGCTTTCCTCTACCTTGTAAATTGTAGTTCACATGTTCCTGAGTAAAGAATCGCTCTTCCTCACGATCAAGGTCAGTAGCTGTTCTTGTGCTATCTGGATATCGGAAAGGGATCCAAGGCTGTTTGTTGCATAAACTGGTGAAAGCTTGCAGTGTGCTCTCGCGACCATTCGAATCCGGTAGCAGCTTCGCCAACTCTCGATAGATCTCCAATCTGTTAAGAGCGTCGGCTTCTCTGATGTTGGCTTGTTCTGCCAGGTTCTCCAATTCGCCGTCTAACTCTGCTTGAGCTCCTGTATTGTCTGGCTCGTCAACGTCAACTTCAACCACCACATCATCATTGTCGTTGCCGGGATCCGTGACTGTCACTGTGCAATACACGGCTCTTAGCCTTATTCGCGACTCGATCCTAGATAGGGTTTGAGTTCGACTCATGACTGAGTCTCTCGTGAATAGTCATTTGAGACAGGATTCTCAATGACCGCTCTGGTCATACTAGGTTGATGATGAAACATCGCTCTAGATATTTAGCCAGCGTGGAGTACTTCCACGCTACTAGATCCATGCTAGACAAACCTTCACGCGTTCCGTTTTAGATCGTGGAGAGACGTAGGATTACTACCGCAACCTACTCTATCACACTTTATAGTCTCCCGCGGAGGCCAGATCTACGATCCCTTGATGATGATCTCTCTCGTTGATTAGTTTTCATAGCTTTCTAATCTCTCTCATAACTTTCATTCTCTCAAACTCAAAACACTCGAAAGATCTTTACACTAGCTTTTAGCGTAGTGCATTTTGTTAACAAACAATAGCTTTCAGCTACCCTCAACTATTCCTTCACCATGAAGATGGCTCAAGGAAAGCATGCGTTCCGCAACTCGAGAAACAGTTGCGTGACAAACCCATTCTTCCTCTCGTCGACAATGACGAAGAAAACGAGATCAACGATACTCGTACAACCACTTGCAAACTTCGCAACCATGTTGCCAAGCGCAAATCAGAAGACTCTGACAATGAGGACAAACCCTCTATCAATTTCAATCACTTGGATGGAGGAATCTCTATCTGAGGATTAGGCCAGGATGATGATCAACGGAACCAGTTTCCGATTTCTCATACCAAAGTGATGAGAGATATCTCACTAACTAGTAAACAAGAATTGTTTGCAACTGATGAAACTACGGCAAATTAGATATTGCCTAGAAGTGTCAGCTAGACTCTGACGATCTTTAGCATCGTTACCTCGTCCGTGGCCCACCTCGTAAACGTCGAAAACAAGAGACCTCAAACCATCGTTATGTTAGATTTAACAAGCGAGAAAAGGGAAACCAAAACCGTTAAACTCCGTGCTTACTGGACAGGAGACATCCGGAACCTTGATTGCTCAACCTCATGCTAAGAAATTACGCATGAAGGATCTTGGGGGCGTCCAAACAAAGTGGACTCCCCTGCAGGAGAATTAAACACCAGCACAAAGTGCAAAGGTGCATTCATGATTCCTGAATTCCACGAAGATAGAATTATCGAGTGGGATTTACACCGTCACCAAGAGCTGGGGGCGTATGACATGATCATAGGTCGAGACATTCTCTCTGACTTAGGATTAAAGTTCGATTTCACTACCATGTCAGTGGAATGGGACGCGCATCTATTCCTATGAAAGACATGACACCAATGAAGAAGAGAACTTCTTATTCCTGATCCTACTGCTGTGATGACAGTGCAGATCGTCTCAAGAAGATTCTTGATGGAAATACGAACAAGCTGACTTAAGGCAGGTTTGCCAAGTAAGATCAGTAAACACGGAAGAAGAAGGAACAGCTTCATTCCTTACTGACGAAGTACTCTGACCTTTCGATGGTACTTTAGGAAATGGCGATGGACGACTACGAAGTAGAACTTCTCCTGATGCTAAACCCTATCATGCCAGGGCTTATCCTATTCCACGGGTCCATACCAACACTCTCTAAGATGGAGGTTGAAGTCTCTGCGAGCAGGGGTACTCAAGAAGGTAAACCGTTCCGAGTGGGCGGCACCAACTTTTATCATTCCCAAGAAAGATGGATCTGTACGATTCATCTCTGATTTCCGGGAACTAAACAAAGGATTAAGCGGAAACCTTATCCATCCCAAAAATACAGGACATGCCTTGAATCTAGATGGATTCAAGTACGCTACTAGTCTAGACCTGA